CACAGATCCCTTCCTTCTATATTTTGTTTTCATCAGAACAGCATTAGACATGCAGCCCACTAGTGTCTATAAGGTTCAGTCTGTACAATGGAACCATGCAGGTGATACATCAAAATGAGTCGGGCAGAACAATCCCGACTGAGTGAGCTACAATAACAACTTCCGGAGTCAGCTGTCGATATCGCTCCCTCCTTCACAATCACAAGGTCTTTTCTTAGCCATGCATGAAGAATGTCTTTTAGATAAGAATATATCATTAATCGGAGAGGGGTTTATGCTGCCCAATAAACAAATATAGTAAAAATATGAGGTGATCAGCTATCTCTGCCTCATAAACACATATCAACTGTGGGAGGCATTTACAGCAACAATTTTAATTACGGTTCTGCTTAGCAAAGTTTCAGTTATCTACAGTTGATTGTGGATGGAAAACACTTAGTGGGAAATTCTAAAAATGAACCATTTATACGTTTCAAATATCTTCTTATCAAAACATACTTGTATTTATCCTATTTTTATCATTTATTATTGTGAATCTCTTATTGTACCTCACTTATAAATTAAACTTTCTCAGGGCTCAGTAACCTTTTTGTAGCCCTGCAAAACAGTAATTACTAAAGATCAATGGCCCAGTATTAAAATTGGCTGTAGGAACATATGTCCTCTCATTGCACAAGTGCAGTGTGTGTGTGTGTGTGTGTGTGTGTGTGTGTGTGTGTGTGCAGGTGGAAAGAGGATGACATTTTCTACTTTATTGAGACAGAGTCTTTCACTGACTGCAGAGATCACTGTCACAGCTGGAATGACTGCCAGCAAGCCCCTGGGCTCTGCCTGTCTCTGCTCCCCAGCACTTAAGGTTAAAGGCATGTGCTTCCGTGCATGGCTTCTTGTGTGGTTGCTGGTGATCCAAACTCAGGTCCTCAAGCTTGCACAGCAAGCACCACCACATCAGAAGCTCACACACATAACCATCTCCCTAAGTCCTCAAATGAGACTTTTTTATACTTTGTTGACTATAAACACTTCTAACATCCCTTAAAATCCTAAGATGTAGTAGGATTTCTTTAAAACACACACACACACACACACTCTTAAGAGCTGGAAGGATGATTAAACAATTAAGAATTTTTGCAGTTCTTGCAGAGGAACCAAATTTGAATTTTTTTTTTTTTTTACCAGAGGCTCACAACTGTCTGTAACTCCAACTCTAAGGAATCTAACATACCTAGCCTCTTCAGGCACCTGTATTTATGTGTATATACTCTGACAGACAGAGACAGGCAGACAGACGGACAGGGACACACACACACACACACACACACACACACACACACACACACACACAAAATAACTAAAAATTAAATTGCAAGCTAGATGGTGGTGGCACACGCCTTTAATCCAGCACTTGGAAGGCAGGGGCAGGTGGATCTCTGAGTTCAAGGTCAGCCTGGTCTAAAGATCAAGTTCTAGGAAAGCCAGGGCTACAAAGTAAAACCCTGTCTCCAAAAGAAAAAACAAAACAAACAAAAAACCCAAAAACCAAAACATTAAATTGCCACCACAACCGGTGATCTCCCATCCAACCAGGCCCGACCCTGCTTAGCTTCCAAGATCAGACTAGATCGGGCGTGTTCCGGGTGGTATGGCAGTAGACAACAAAACATTAAATTGCATTTACTCCAAGATAATGACTCAAAATCAGAGACACTTCAAACTGGCACTTCTCTGGTACCCTCCAGCTTGTCCACATGTATACAAAGATTAAACAGATTCTTACTCTCCCTCTTCTTCAGTGGAACCACAACTTTCCTAATATGAAACTCAAATTCTTTTTAGTTTTTAACTTTACTCTCTCTTGCCCTCTATATTCCAACATTCTTATCGAGTCTTTGTTTGCAACAACCTTCCATCTCTTCCTCTTTCCTCCTAGTTCTGCTGATAACTAAATTCTAGTCCTCATTACTTCAGACCTGAAGTGCCTGAACTTGTCTATCAGCCACCATTGTTGCTATTTTGAAATCCATATACTACCATCTTCCTAAAATACACTTTTCACCATTTTCCCACTAAAATAGTGTACTAGTCATTGCTGGGGCTCACTCGTCTTTAATTCTAATTACTGAGCACAAAACAACCTCATATATGCTTAATGAACTGTTTATTGAATAAATACATAAAAATATGAAAATGTTCATCAATCTCTCCCTATCTACAGCAGAAGTTACAAACTCAAATACAGAGACCATAAAGGAAATGTAATGGGTAAAACTATATGTAAAATAATAGGGCATGATAGGGACTGGGCAAATGGAAGAGAAGACATTCACTAAAGGGGTAGTTTCTTTGCTGTTCCCACTGATCGGGTGGCACAATAATGGAACACGGGTTCCATATTTCTATCCCATCTGACTATGAAGATAAGCCAGGCCAGAGAGAAGGCTCACTTCAGTCCATGCTGCCATGTCCGACAACCTGAGTCTGACCCCCAGAAGCCATGTGGTAGGCTTAGAGAAATGACTCCCCAAGTTATCTCCTGACTGCCACAGCCACCACCTCTCCTAAATAAGTGTCATTTTTAAAGGATAAGCTAAAAGCACAGATTTATAAAACTTGCTGGTTTTTAAATGGTGACAACTAATTCCTCTTAAAACCTAACAATATCACTATTCCCCTCAGCAATTCACCCACCAATCAATCAACCAGATAATATAAGTTAAAGCAAACACATTTATGGACTAATTCTAGCCCTCAAGTCCCAAGTTAACTCTAATATGCAGGATAAAAGACAAACTTCAGTCTAAGTTCTTGTTTCCTTTTTCATCAACTGTTTTTATTTATCTGAGATAGGGTTTCTCTCTATTGACCAGGCTGTCCTTGAACTCATAGAGGTTCACCCTCCTCCACCTCCTGAGTGCTGGGATTGCAGGTGTGTGCCACTGAACCTGGCTTAGAATATTTCCATCAGTTTTATTTTGTGCTCCTGTGTGGAGGGGGATAAATGTGCACATCACTGAGTATGGAGATAGAGGATAACTTGTGGGAATTGGACCTCTACCACGTGCATTTTTTGAGGCAGAGTCTCACATAGCCTAGGCTGTCTTCATTTTTCACTTTAATAAGTAATTGAAGATAATCTTGAACTGCTTATCTTCCTACCTCCTAAATGATAGGATTACTAGAACGTGACACTGTAACTTCTAAGTCCTTTACTTTGGGTTACTAGGCTACCTTTCCAGAATGTTTTACCTACTTCCAGACAAGAACTCACTGTTGTCCTCCAGTAGTTCTCGAACTGTTAAGGTCATTTTAACAACCTGGCTGCAATCTCAGCGCCTGGGAGGCTGAAACAGCAGAACCAAAGCTTCAAGGTTGCCTGGGCTACATACTGACTTTGAGGCAAGTTGGGCACAACAAGACTTTGTTGCAAATGCAAACACATGGCAAACACACACACACACACACACACACACCCTACAAACACCCAAACCCAGACTTTCCTTTCCTTCCTTTCCTTCTTTCTTCCCAAACCTCTATCCCCTCTCTTTTGGAAACAGGGTCTCTTTATGTGGCCTTGGCTAGACTGGACTCAACTATGTAAACCAGACTGGACTTGAACTCATAAAGATCCACCTGTTTCCCTGGTGTTGAGATTAAAAAAGATACATACTACCACACCTACCCAGGGGTAGTTTTCTTAAAGAACTGACTTTTAGTTTAGGTTAATGGTTGTGTTTGGATAAATAATTAATAAAAAATACAATATTTTGGGGGCTGGAGAGATGGCCCAGAGGTTAAGAGCACTGGTTACTCTTCCAGAGGTCCTGTGTTTAATTCCCAGGAACTACATGGTGGCTCACAACCATCTAAAATGAGATCTGGTGCCCTCTTCTGGCCTGCAGGTATACATTCAGGTAGAACACTGTATACACAATAAATAAATAAATAAATCTTTAAAAAACACAATATTTGGAAAGAATAGTTAATTAGTTAATAATATGTATAAGAATACAATATTTTTGAGACAAGGTATCATGTAGCTTAGGGTGGCATTTATCCTTGTAGCTAAGGGTGACCCTGAACTTCTGATTTTCCTGCATCTACTTTTTAAGTTCTGGGATTATTGGTAGATGTTACTAGACCCAATGCAACACTGGAGATCAAATTCAGGTATTAAAGCATGGTAGACAAATACTCTACCAACTAAGTTACATCCCAGTCCTAATACACCTGACATACAAATAAAACTGAATGTTAATTGACCTAGTTGGTAAGATTAAGTCTTAACTCTTCAAGATTCCTTACAGTGCTCCTGTAAGGATGCAAACTAATGTCCATTTAATAGAATTCTATACGTACATATATCTGAATTCCATCTCCAGGAACCACAATAGAAGGAGATAACCAATTCCCTGTGATTTAAAATGTAGGATAAAACTAACTCATTTCTACAATATCCAGAAACACAGATCAGCCCTTTTGTTTTTATTCTTGGTTTTTCGAGACAGGGTTTCTCTGTAGCTTTGGAGCCCATCCTGGAACTCACTCTGTAGACCAGGCTGGTCTTGAGCTCACAAAGATCTACCTGCCTCTGCATCCTGAGTGCTGGGATTAAAGGCATGTGTCACCACTGCCCAATGGATATAGTTTGTATAGTAACATATTTACCCAAGATTCTAAAGGCTGCATGAAATCAAAATTAAATTTATCTCTGAAGTAAAATCCAGTAAAGTCACAGATCACTAATGATTAAACTTTTGAAAATACCTGGAGAAAAGATTAGGAATAATATTAATTTTGCTACAAAACAGTCCTGGATTGAACTCATACCTGATAGTAATATAATCATTGAGAAAGAAAAAAAAATTATCTTTTGGCAAAAGGTGGTCAAATTCAAGAATGGCATAGAGCAAACAGCTCCTACTCAGAGGCAGAAGCATCTGAGTAGCATATTCAGCTGTAAGTTAGCAGACATGGTACCTACGTCTGGATACTCTACTTACCAGGGTCATAATGATCCCTTCTGCTTAAACATTCAGCCAAGATACTCTTCATCTCTGTGCCAACCAAGAACTGTGAAAATGATGCATAAAAAGTCAACAAGTCCAAGCCAACAAAATACTAAATGATTTATGTCTTAAAAGCATTTAATGTTCCCAACAATGAAACAAAGCAAATTCATGAAACAAACTATTTCCCTGTAAAGCTACCCACCAGCAATCCCAGAAAGAAATGATAACAGGTAAGCTTCTGAACAGGAACTCCCTAGTGTATATTCTTTACTCCCAGGCACTTCTTGTCAGTGGATGATGACTGAATAGCAGCATCCATTTCTTCCGTGGAGGATGTGGGAGGTTCAGAACACATTAGTGTCATGGTGCTGGCAAGATGGCTCAGTGAGTAAGAGTACTTGCCATGCAAAACCGATGGCCTGGGTGGGATTAAAGGTGTGCACCACCACTGCCCACGTATATTCATGTGGGACGACACGGAACTGAATAACCCATGTGGGGGGCTCTTCCCTGGGGAAGACTATGTCTCCTGCTCTCAGCACCCCTTAGCTGCCTGCAGTTCTTTGTGTAGGGTTGCGGTTTGTGAGCTCCTCCCTGCCATGTTAGCAAGTCATCTTGCTCAGGTCTTGTTTAGATACCTCTGAAATTATGTACATACAAGTAACATAATATGGACTGAGCAGGCTGTACTTATCTATTTGGGAATACATATGTACACACACACACAATAAAAATATATATGTACCAACAGTTAAAGAAAGAAGCCAGAGGAGAGAGAGAGGGAGAGAGGGAGCACAGTGTGGGCTACATGGGACTAGTTTCGGCTGGATGGAAAAAAGGAAAGGGGGAAATGGATGTTATATTTCAATTTTTTAAAGCATTTCTTCTACTTTTTAAAAAGACTTATTTATTTATAAGTAGAGCAGTGAAATACCAATACATTTAGGTAGGCTTTGAAAATTTTACATATAGTCATGTCATACATTTTAATCTACAAAATAAGTTTATAAAACAGGCATGAAGCCAGGTGATGGTAGCCCAAACCTTTAATCCCAGCGCTCAGGAGGCAGAGGCAGGCAGATCTCTGTGACTTCAAGACCAGCCTGGTCTACAAGAGCTAGTTCCAGTACAGTCTCAAAAAACAAACAAACAAAAAATCAGGCATGAAAGGGTAACATCATATAATTTTATTACAATCTCAAAAATAGATATTTTATACTGGATAAAATACTATAAATTATAAAGTAATTTAAAGCATTATGTTCTTTAGCCAGTGGGTTAGTGCATGCCTTTAATTTCAGCACTGTGGAGGCAAATACAGTCAGATCTCTGTGAGTTCAAGGCTAGCCTGGTCTACATTGTAAATTCCAGGTCAGTCAGAGCTGAATATGAGACACTGTCTTAAAAAAAAAAAAGATTAAAAACAGAATACCATGCATATAATTAAGAAGCAATCTTGCCAGGCATGGTGCTACACATCTTTAATTCCAGCCCCTGGAGCCTCTGGTTTGATTCCCAGCACCCACATATTGGTTCACAACCGTCTGTAACTACCATTATCTTTATCTAGCCTCCACAGGCATTCCAAGCACCTGGCACACAGACACACAACTGCAAGCAGAACACTCATACATAAAATAAAAAAAGAGTTAACAACAACAACAAAGAAGCTATGTTGTTTAAGTCAAAATTTTATGTTTACGGGTTTATCAGTAGGCCTATGTTCAAATGGTAAATTTGGGACTGGCTTTTATTTTCAACCAATTTTTTGTAACGAAATCTAAATATACACCTAATTACAGAAGATGCCCTACTCCCTTTCTGCTTGCTATCAATAAGGTGTTTTATAGATTGCTTCTCAAAGGTAAGGTGATTCTGACCCTAGGTCTATTGGTGAGTCACACACTGGGGAGAATGCACCAGAAATACAGTCAAAACAGATGTTAGCAGATGGCTCAAAAAGGTTCTCAAGGTCCTTTATCAAATTAACATGCCTACTCTAACCGCAAAATTTACAAACTACAAAAGCCACGCCTCCAGAGGCGAGGCAGGGCGGGACTTCACTTACAGTTAAAGGCATAGTATACGTCCTCCCTAGAAAAGTGTGTGCGTGTGTAAGGGTGGTGTCTAAAAATGATGTTTCAAATAATACGTTAAATGTTAATTTGAAAGGGAGGATAATGCAAAACAGAGCTTTCACTTACAAGTCTCCTAACCACCGCCTTGGCAGCCACAATACCTGTCTTCTGTAATGAGTCACTCTCTCACTGAATGAAGGCTTAATCACAGGGCTCCTCCTCTGAACAAACTAGAATACTGGAGTACTCCTTTTCAGGATCCGGGATGCGAGGCAAGAGCTTGCAACTTTATGCAACTTGCAACAAGGGGACTAGACTGTGGTCACTAGAGGATGCGGGCGATATTAGCTAACAGGAACCCGGGAGTCGGCTGGAGCCAAGCACCTGCCACTGCAGACGCGGGGGCGGACGACCCTCCCCTCCACGCAGCTCCAGGAAGGGAGCCGGTGTCGGAGCGTCGGAGCGCGCTGACCCGCGAAGGCTGACAGCCTCGCCCCAGCCACCGCCCTCGGAAAAGTCAACTGCCTCCCTGAAAGCGTTTGGCCTGGGACGTCCCCGGGTGCGCCGTCCTCTACGGAGCCCGCGAGACCGAAGCCAGGATGGAGGGGAGGGAAGCATGAGTCGCGCAGCGCGGGCGCCCCGGAGGCAGGAGCAAGGGGCGCGGGCACCGCCGCGGTGGCCGCGGTGAGGCGTGGAGGAGCCGCCGACCCCGCACGCTCGGATGCGCGCGTGGCGGTCGGAGAGGCGCTGCGAAGCGAGCCACCGGAGGCGGGAGGCCCGTGTCTTGAGGCCGGGACGCCACGGACCCGCGCCCCTCTCCCGTCGCTCCCGGCCTCCCGCTCGGCCCCAACCCCGGGAGCGCCGCCGGGGCTCGTGCACACTCACCGCGCGCGCCGCCCTGGCGCGGACACCAGCCTCCTCCGAGCGGTCTCCGCCCCGCCCCTCGCCGCGCTCACGTCACGCGCGTGCGCCCTCCGCGTGCCCTCAACGGCACCGAGGACGTTAGCCCTTCGGCGTGGTGGTTTCCTTAGAAACAGAGGCGGCCCAGGTGGCGGCCACCAAGAGACCAAGACGGTGAGACTCCTGGAGAAGTCAAGATGTCGGCAAAGGACAAGAGGAAAGGCAAGAACAAAGGCAAAGAAAAAGACAAAAAGTAAGCGCGGCGGCGGCGCGGAGCCCCGCTTTTCCCGGGCCTGCCCTCGGGCCACTTTGAATCCAGGGACGCGCTGATTTGCCTCCGCTTGCCAGACTTTGGAGGACGACCCCTGCTGTCCTTCCTTGACCCTAGGCCCCCGAGAGACCTCCATTATGAGACTGACATGAACATGAACTGGTGTAGTTCTGTTCTAGCTCTAGTCTGAGTGGTTAAAGTCGTTCCTTTTTGGATCAAAGGGAAAAACGCAAAACTATTTGACCAGGCCGGTCAGATCTCCACATCCCCCACCCCACACTGGTACTGCTCTAGCGCTAACCCTGTGATGTCCTGAGTTACTGCTAGAATGGGCTACCCCCTGTACTTCCTCAAGACTTCGGAGGCACACAGAGTTCAACACCACCACACATGGGAACCGCCAAGGAACACCTTAAACTTGGAGATAGGTTCTGTAAATGCACACCCACCATGGCATTGCTCTGGAGGCTGAGGGGAAAAGATCACAAGTTCTAGGGCAGCCTGGGTTACATAGCAAGATCTTGTCTTTAAAAAAGAAGACAATAAATGGGGGGTGGGCTGGAGTGATTGCTAGTGGTTAAGAGCACTGGCTGGTCTTCAGAGGACCCACCGGAGTTCAATTCCCAGCACCCACATGACAGCTCATAACTGCCAGTAACCACAGTTGGGGGGGGGGGAATCTGACACTTTAATACATGAAATATAAATAAGTAAGTTATATTTAGAAAAAAAAGTTAACTTGTTTGGTCTGGTCTGTGAGTGTAGGTCTATGATAGAGTGCTTTGTGCAGGGTCCAAGTTCCATCTCCAGCAGAGTAACTTAGAGTTAAGTTCATACTCAGCACAGAAAGCTTGGGAGATAGGGAAAGTACTAAAGGAGAAAGAGAAAATTATGCACCATCCACAGTTAACCACTACCATTATTCCCCCCCCCATGTAAAATGATTGATAGGTTAATGATTTGTAGACCCACTACCCTTACCACAAGGATCAAACTCAGGCACTCTCCAGATAGGCAAGTGTTCTATCACAGAACCACATGTCTGACCTCTTCACATATATATTCTACATGGTGATTGGGAAACAAAATACAACTTTTCAGTCTAGCACATTCTAGAAATTGCCAAGGGCCTGTCACATTGCTGCAACTCACAGCCAAGTTTTATATTCTTGGCACTTCTTCAGGGCATATGTGAATAAGAAAGAACAATAAAATTCTCTGTATTCCATGAATGTTCCACAGCTCATTGTTTGAGAAACCTTTGTTTCTCCAGTAACTTAGTGGTCTTTTTCTTAGAGACATCTAATTGCTTGCCTCAATTCCTGACACTTTCTGGCAGCAACTGGAGATTGTAGAAGGGCATTCTATTACTAGTGTCTAGAGCACACTGGGAAGGGACAGTAACTGCTCTGTCAGACTGGAGAACTGGGAATGGAGCTGCACTGAATTTGAAGAGAACCAAAGGTAGGTGTGCAACGCTTTGGACTAAGAATCGGGAGTTGAGAGGATATGGAAGGTGATGGTGTAAGGAGGAAAGATCTACTCATACTTTATTATTTAAAATCTAAATACAGGTAGAACTTTTTATGCATAATTTATATAGCTAGTGCCTATCATAGGGCAGTTTTTTATGCTAATGCAGTACTTATTTTGAAGAAACTCACCTTTTATCGATAAAGCTTTGAATCCACCCTTTATTGATTTTTATGGGTTTGGGGATCAAACGTATATATATACACTAAGCATTCATCCTACTGATGCCAATCTTCATCCCCAGAGTCCTGCTAAAAAATTTTTCACCTCTGTTTTCTAGGCATCCTTAAAACTTGGTATACTGTGGTACCAAAAAAGCATTTAACATACTTGTCCAAGTAACTTGATCCTTTGTACAAGAACTAGCCAAAACAAAACAATAACAGAACTGGGGGTGGAGACTACAGATATACAATCAAGTGTGCCTTCGTGTAGAAATATAACCACAGGGAGGGGAGTGAGCCAAGGTTTGGAACTGAGTGAGTGAAATAGTGGAAAAAATCAGGAGCTGTAGCTCATTTGCATAGCACTTGCCTAGCATGCTCTAGATCAGGTCTGATACTCAGCACAGCAAAAATAAGAAAATAAAAACTATGGAATAATGAAATAAATGAGAAGGTATGGAGCTTAATGAAATGCATTTGACCTCTTATTTCCTTTGTTCTTCCAGTCCTTTGAAGCCATACTCTAAAGCACTCCTCTCCTCTTACACGAATACAAACAAATGTGTATTTCTTGTTAATTCATTTCTCCAACAGTATATACTTTTATATACTAGGCATACAAAACAAAAGCAAAATGAGGCTTATAGAGTGAAGAAAGTTACATATTATCAATATCATCTTCTGCAGGAAAGTAGTAAAAACAGAGGACCAAGTGGTTGAACGAGCTAAGGCCAATGCCTCTCTCTGGGAAGCCAGATTGGAAGTCACAGAACTCTCTAGGATTGAATATCGCGATACTTCCCGGAGACTGGCGAAAAATAATGAAGACTTAAAGAAACAGCAGTATAAATTGGAAAAAGACACTATGTCTGTATTAAGCTACTTGAAGAAGCAGGATCAAGAGAAAGATAATATGGTAGGTAGGTAGAAAGCTGAACCTCACAACCCCCCCTCTGTGTTTATGTAACATGGTTATATTTTTGAAGGTTTTTTTGTTTGTTTGAGACAGAGAGGAGAAGAAAAGGAGAACTGTAAAATGAAAAATTGTAGAGATCTTTTAGGTAACAACATGAACAAACTTAGCATCCTAACCTGAACATTTAAAAATGGTTGACAGAGCCTGGCAGTGGCACATGCCTTTACTCCCAGCACTCATGAGGCAGAGACAGGTGGATGTCTATGGGTTCAAGGACAGCCTGGTCTATACAGTGAGATCCAAGACAGCCAGCACTACACAGTGAAGCCCTTTCTCAAAAAAACAAATTTTAAAAAATGTCAAAAGTAAATTTAATGTAGTAGTTTTTATATGTATATGTTTGTGCCTGAGCGTCACATTCATGCAGGAGTCTGCATTGAGGCCAGAAGACAATCAGAGCCGCTGGAGCTGGAGTTATATGCAGTTGTGAGCTACCACGTAGGTGCTAAGAATTGAACTTGAGTCCTCTGCAAGAGCACTAAACACTCTGAACCATGGAGCCATTTCTCCAGCCCAATACTGTCTGTTTTATAACAATTAAAAAAAGTTATTCAAATAACTCTGATGATACCTAGATCTTAGAAATTGTCAATAGCAGATTAAGTATATGAGGAAATCCCTGTCCTCTCCTTCACTGTCTTTCCTGGCTTACCGGCTTTAGTATTATATTAAATAATAAGTCATATAAATAGAAATAGGATTCAAAGTAATTCTATATTATCCTTACTCTGGCAATTTATCTTCTACAGATAGAAAAACTGAAACAGCAATTGGTTGAAACAAAGGAAAAAGCCAAAGAAGAGAAGGAAAAATTGGTGAGTGTCTACTAAGAGTTTACTTATTAGGGAACCAGATTTCTAGTGAATTTAGTTATTTTAGGTCCAGGAAGAATAAGTGAAGCCAGGCAGTGGTGGTAGCTCACGCCTTTAATCCCAGCATTCCAGAGGCACAGGCAGGTGGATCTCTGTGAGTTCAAAGCCAGCCTGGTCTACAGAGTGAGTTCCAGGACAGCTAGGGCTGTTACACAGAGAACCCTATTTTGGGGAAAAAAGAAAAAAAAATACAATAATACGTAAAAAAAATGGATCCAGAAGCATAGTAGAGTGTTTACCTAGTATCCACAAGCCCTGGGTTTGGTCCCGGAATCCTTAACAAAACCAAACAAAACAAGAAACTAACAAATACAGCACTTAGGATGCAGAGGCAGTCAGATTTCTCTGAGTTCAAGACCATCCTGGTCTACAAGAGCTAGTTCTAGGACAGCCTCCAAAGCCACAGATAAACCCTGTCTTGAAAACAAAAACGTGCACTTATTTATACAAATGTTAAAAAACATATTATGGAGGCATATGACACACACCAGCTACTTCAAAGGCTAAAGTAGGAGTCATACTTGAGCCTAGGAGTTTAGAGTCTCAAGGCCAGTATTATGGGCAACATACATAGCAAGATCTTGTCGCAAAAAAAAAAAAAAATATAGATACCGAGTCCCAAAGTCAATAATAATACTTGGAGTTCAATTGCAAGACTATTGGACTAGGCTATGTGTTATACTTTGTTACACACCCAGACTCAAGACACAGGATTTTATTTTGATGAATGATACACCTTCATCCTTTACCAAGAGTATTGGTCCTAAATGGTTTCAGTATAGGTACTTCAATTCTTAAGGCTTACTATAGTAACAGTCCTAGAACACTAATACCACCACTAGTAGATTACTACAAGAGTTCAAAATAGTGTGAAATTTTTGAAGGAGGGGTGGGCTTTTTTCTCATATATATATATATAATAAAGATCTTTGATGAGGGCAGGAGAGATGGCTCAGAGGTTAAGAACACCTGGCTGCTCTTTCAGAGGTCCTGAGTTCAATTCCTAGCAATCACGTGGCTCACAATCATCTATAATGAGATCTGTGCCCTCTTCTGGCCCACAGGAACACATGTAGGCAGGACATTGTATGCATAATAAATAAATAAATCTTTAGAAAAAAAAAGACTTTTTTTTTTTTTTTTTTTGGTTTTTCAAGGCAGGGTTTCTCTGTATTGCTTTGGAGCCTGTCCTGAAACTCACTCTGTACAGACCAGGCTGGCCTCGAATTCACAAAGATCCTCTTGCCTCTGAGTGCTGGGATTAAAGGCTTGCACCAGCAACATCCTGCTTAAAAAAAAAAAAAAAAAAGATCTTTGATGAAAACTGCAAACATATTTCTTCCCTGTGGTGTTGAGGATTGAACCCAGGACTTCATGCATGCTACTTCCCTAATTCAACACTACAATTTTAAAAACTAAGTGAAAACCATATGTGGTGGCACATTCCTTTAATTATAGCATTCAGGGGGCTGAGGCAGGAGGATGCTGAGAGTCCAAGGCCAGCCTGGGCTACATAGTTCAAAGACAGAGTAGTGGAAAGCTAAGAAAGTTCAGAGGAGGCAAGTGGGAAGGAAGACTCTGTCTTAAAAATAATATGAAATTCCTTTCTGTAAGATTGTGTTGCCAACTAACACAAAAGCTTGAGTTTTAGAGGTGTCTTATTTGGTTTGAGTTTTCTTTATTTGCTATTGGGGACTGAACCCAGGGTTTTACATACTAACCATACATGTTACTCTCTGAACTACATAGACAAAATATTTCCTGAATTTGTTTCTTATTTAAAGCTGTTGGCATCATTTTATAGAAATTAAAATTTTATGCAAATCTTATAACTTTATGCAAAATAAAGATGGGACAGTTCTTTCAAGAAGATACACAAATGGCTTAAGCCTCAGATAAAGCATGGCTCTATGGAACATTTGTTTTTCCTAACTCATTTACTTCTTTTTTTAATACAGGAACATAAGTATACTGTGCAGATAAGTGAATTGGAGGGACAGTTTTATAAAAAAGCCAAAGAAATTGGCATGATTCAGACTGAGCTAAAGACAATAAAACAATTCCAGAAGAGAAAAATCCAAGTAGAAAAAGAATTAGATGAGGTAAGTTTCTCTCTGTTTCTTTTTAAAGATTTATCTTATGTGCTTGCATGTATGTAAGTACTTAGGGAACCCTTGTAGCCCCAAGTATACACAGCTGCAGTAGGAATATTCATTTAATTCGGTTGCTTGAGACATGATCTTGCTATATAAAGGCTGACCTGGAACTTTCTGTATACCCAGGCTGGCATCATGGTTGAAACAACATCCCTGCCTCAGCCTCTCAAGTGCTGGGATTACAGGCTTAAGCCTTCTGGACTTTATTCTACTCTGTTTTCATTCTTCTTTTCTCAGAGATTTTATTGTGTAAGTGTTGGATGTGGGTATACATGTGTGCATATCTGTATGAGTGCTGGGTATGGGTATACATGTGTGCATATACCCAAGTAGGTTAGAATAGGGTATTGGAGCCTCTGGAGTTACAGGCAGTTGTTAGCCAACTGATGTGGGTATTGGGAACTGAACTCTGGTCTTCTGTAAAAGCAATACATGCTGTAACCTGGGGAATAACCTCTCTAAGCCCCATTCTAATTTAATGTTATTTTGAGAAAGGTTTCATGTAGCCCAGGCTGGCTCTGAGCTCCTCATCCTCTTACCTGTGCCTCCAGGAATGCCTCAATCCCATTAGGAATCTTTAAAATGTAAATTCTGATGATGCTTTGACCACTTCTCTCAAGAATCTGTATTTCTCAGCTGTAAACAGCATATTGTCTAGATAACTTAATGTGTAAGGTAAGACTATACACATCAAATTTTAAATTTTTTTTTTTTTTTTTTTTGTTTTGATACAGGGTTTCTTTGTGTAACAGCTCTCTGGCTGTACTGGAAATCACATTGTAGACCTGGCTGGCTTCAAACTCAAAGCGGTCTGCAGGCCTCTGCCTCTCAGGTGCTGGGATCAAAGGTGTGCACCACCACACCTGGATTAAATTTTAATCCTTTATAACAATACACTTACACCAATACACAGTCTTTTATTCTACAGTTTATCCAAATTGGACATCCACATAACTCTTAAGTCTTCTCCTTTATTTTCTTGGTGCTTAAACCCAGAATTTTGGTCATGCTTGACAAACAATCTATTACTGAGCTACACTCCAGTCTTTGTCTTTCTTGCTTTGTTCTGAATATTTCTTAGTGTGAATAAATTTCTGATAGATCTCTATCCATTAACCTTCAAAGACTTACCTTAAATGCACTTTCTTATCCCCTCCCCAGTCATGTTTAATGATTACTTCTATCTTTCCATGGGATTTGGTACAGAACACATCATGATTTTCATTATCTTCCCTACTAGATTATAAATTCATTGAAACGAGAATTTTGCATTCGTTGCAATATAAAACCCACAAGAGCAGTTTACTAAAGATCTAGAGCATCTTTCTCTTAGCCCTTTGCTGGTTGGTGCACGCGCGCTGACGTTCTCGTACCCGGCGGCCGACAGAGGGCGGCTCGGCAGTGACGTAGCTGCGCTGCTCAGCAATGACGTAGTATCCCGCGCCACCCAGCACCGCGCAGCTACTGCCGGCCGTTTCAGCGCTCTGAAGTCGAAGATGGCAGAGCAAGTTTCTCAGGGAAAGTCGGCGGACCAGGTGTGCTCTTTCCTCTTCAAAAAGCCCGTGCGGAAAGGGAGTGCAGGCCGCCGGAAACGGCCTGTGTGCGACCCGGACTCCGGGGAGAGCGGAAGTAGTAGCGACGAAGGCTGCTCGGTGGTGCGACCGGAGAAGAAGCGGGCCACCCACAATCCAATGATCCAGAAGACGCGTGGCAGCGGTAAACAGAAGGCGACCTACTGTGATGTGAGCAGCGGAGAGGAGGAGAAGACGGAGAATGAGAGTCTGGGCGTAGTCTACAAGTCCACGCGCTCGGCGAAACCGGTGGGGCCCGAGGATATGGGGGCGACAGCTGTCTACGAGCTGGACACAGAAAAGGAGCGAGACGCACAGGCCATCTTTGAGCGCAGCCAAAAAATCCAGGAGGAGTTGAGAGGCAAGGAGGATGACAAGATCTATCGTGGAATTAATAATTATCAGAAGTACATGAAGCCGAAGGATACGTCCATGGGCAATGCCTCCTCCGGCATGGTGAGGAAGGGCCCCATCCGAGCCCCCGAACATTTACGTGCCACCGTGCGCTGGGATTACCAGCCTGACATCTGTAAGGACTACAAGGAAACTGGCTTCTGTGGCTTTGGAGACAGCTGCAAATTCCTCCATGACCGTTCAGATTATAAGCACGGGTGGCAGATCGAACGTGAGCTTGATGAGGGCCGTTACGGTGTGTATGAAGACGAAAACTACGAAGTAGAAAGTGACGATGAGGAAATACCATTCAAATGTTTCATCTGTCGCCAAACCTTCCGAAATCCAGTTGTTACCAAGTGTAAGCATTATTTCTGCGAGACCTGTGCACTGCAGCATTTCCGAACTACTCCACGCTGCTATGTTTGTGAGCAGCAGACCCATGGGGTCTTCAATCCCGCAAAAGAATTGATTGCTAAACTGGAGAAGTATAGCACAGCAGAGGGCGGTGCTTCCAACACCTCAGAAGACCCTGATGGGGTCTGATTGCCATTACTCAGGTTTTCCATAATTGTCAGCTCTCAAAGTACTTTTTGTTTTGGCCACCTCAAAACCAACCATAGATGAAAGACTATTAAGTTTTCTAGGAAGAATATCCAAGTTTTGTTTTATATAACAGTACTGCAGATTGAATCAACGCAGTTAATTTATGTAACAGACTACGCATCCCGTGTATAGCTAGCCATACATTCAAATAAATTGTGAACTAGTTCATACTATAATGCCCTGATGTGAGTTTTCTTTTTGAAAGAACAATGTTGCCACCTATTGGAGAAGTAGATTTTAGACATTTCAAAGAGGGCTATTGAGGAACACTTAAAATTCAAGGGCAAAGCTACTGCTGTACTGAAAAAATAAAAATAGGGCAGTTCTGTGGAATCTCAAATGTAGAAGAAATGAGGCAGATGTGAGGGGCCCATATACTAAAATTGCAAAACATTATGTAAGAGATTTTTATTTGTATAGTCTCTAGTCGAAATACATTTCGATTTTGAAAAGGAACTCAAGTCATGTTTGTTAAAGGAAAAAAAATGAAAGCCAGGTTAGTGTGTTTGTTTTGTGTGTGTATAGATGAGTGCTCCTGCCTTTGTGAAGTAAGGTCAGAGGAGAATTTTGTGGCATCATCTCCATCCACTTTTACTAATAAAACTAACTTAAGGTGACAGCCTGTGTGACAGCCATCTTTACCCTTTTCCTGCTGAGCCATCTCATTTGCCCTTGTTTGGGTTTTTGAAACAGACTTTCTGTGTCTCAGACTGACCTGCAACTCATATATTCCAGGTAGGCCTTGACGTTGGGATTCTTTTTCTTCTCCACTGATTTTCACTTTTATTTTATTTGTGTGTGTGTGTGTGTGTGTGTGTGTGTGTGTGTGTGTGTGTTTAGAAGTCACAGTAGGAGTCCTTTTTACTGTGTGGATTCAGGGTAACCTTTATCCAGTAAGCCATTTTATTGGCTCCACTAATTATCTTTTGAAAGATGCATTTATATATAGATTTTGGGGAGTCTAATGATATATCAAAGGTCCATCTGCAGACCTTTGATATATCATTTGAACCATATATGAATTACTTTGTTGGCATTAGTTTTGAAAGCATGACAAAAAAGGCCATTTTAAAAATTAAATACAAACAGAAAGAATATCTGAAATAATAGAATGAAGATGGAGTAGATTAGAACAGATTACAATTTAGAAAATTGTTAAGTTATAGGTGAAAAGAATAGTATGTCATCAAATATTTACTGTGCTATCCTTGTATTTTTTAAATCTTACCTGTATTAGTTACTTTTTTCCTCGTGAAAAAGCATCATAAGGGAAATTTTGGCTCACAATTTGAGTAGTCTATCATGATGGGGATGTCATGACCTCAAGAATGTGAGGCAGCTGGTCACACCCACAGTTGGGAAGCAAAGAATGATAAGTGCTGGTACCCCATTTAAAAATTAAGTATATCTGTGTTTCTATGTCCATGGAGGCCAAAAGAGGATGGCAGGTTTCTTGAAGCTGGAATTTTAGGCAGGTGTAAGCCACCAAACATGGATATTAGAAACCAAACCTCTGGAAGAACAATAAATGTTCTTAATCAGTTATCCTGACAATCCCTGAACCTTTCTAAAAACAGCTTCATAGATAAATCCAGAAGTGTTTATATGGTGATTCTTTTTTTTGGGGGGGGGCAGGGTTTCTCTGTGTAGCCCTGGCTATTCTGGAACTTGATTTGTAGACTAGGCTGGCCTAGAGATTCATCTGCCTCTGCCTCCAAGGGCTGGGATTAAAGGCATGTGCCACCATACTAGGCCACAGATAGCTTTTTATTATCCTTTTATTTCATATGCATATGTGTATGGGTGTGTGTGGGGGGTACATGCATGTAGAGGCTTAAGGTTGGTGATGGGAATCTTCTTCAATCACTCTTTCACCTAATTCTTTGAGGCAGAGTCTCTCAATCAAACTCAAGAGTTCCTTGATGAGGCTAGTATTTTTAGCTAGCTTGCCTTCCATCTTCCAGCTGGAATTATAGATGGGTGCCACATCCACCTGTCATTTGCATGACTTCTGGGGCTCTGAGCTGCCTTCTCTTGCTTGGAAGTGCTTTAGCTGCTGAGCCATCTTCCCAATCCACAATCTTTAAAAAAAAAAAAAAAAAAAAAAAAAAAAAATATTGGTAGACTATACTCATGAAAAGTCTTTAAGAAAATACCAGGCTGAAGAGATGGCTCAGCCATTGAAGGCTAGCTCACAATCAAAATTTTAAGAAACTCAATACCAATCTAGTAAATCTATAGACTGTTAAGAAAAATGTGCTCAGAGGAGATGACATTGATTTTGTGTCTATGCTCAAGATTATATGTCATATAACGTATCTTCAGAATTATCTATGAATATGTCCTATTCAATCTTTGAACAATTTCTTTTTTTTTTTTTAAGCTGAAAGAAAATTTAAGGAACTCAGAGAAAAAACATCAGGAGACTCTTAGAAGACTAGAAGGCAGATTTTTTGAAGAAAAGGTATAGAATATTAATATTAAGAAATGCTTTGTTTGTATATTCATTCCAGCTTTCAATTTGCTATCTTGCTAGAAAATGTTATCAAGTAGCAGAAAATATGTGTAGTCATGGGCACTCATAATTGTAGCATTTAAGATGCTGAGTCAGGAAGATCTTGAATTCAAAGTCAGTTCTGAGCTACATATCAAGGTCTGTGCTAGCCTGGGCTACATGAAAGCCTGGGCTACAAGTACAGGTAACCTGGACTACAAGACTTGTTTCAAAAAAAAAAAAAAAAAAAATGAGGAAAAACATCTCCATATTTCAGTGCCTAATTCTTTTTCTTCTCCATATAGAGATTCCTTATTTAAATAATAAATTTGGCCAGGTGGTGGTGGAGGTGCATGCCTTTAATCCCAGCAGAGACAGGTGGATCTCTGTAAGTTCAAGCACAGCCTGGTCTACAGAGTGAGTTCTAGGACAACCAGAGCTGTTAACACAGAGAAACCCTGTCTAGAAAAACCAAATAAGTAAATAAATATAAAATCTGTACATACTAACAGTATACTATGAAGTTTCTCAATGTATTTATATAAGTTTTGTTTTTGTTTTTTGACACAGGGTTTCTCTCTGTAGCCCTGGCTGTCCTGGAACTCATCCTGTAGACCAGGCTGGCCTCAAAATCAAGAGATTGGCCTGCCTCTGCTAATATAATGTTTAAGTTAGGTTAACTATTAACTATATCTTTTCAATTTGTTTCTTGCTTTTTTAAAGATGAGGTCTTAGGTAGCCCCAGACTAGTCTTAAACTTGCTATTTAGTGGGACTCTGCCTTGAACCCCTGACTTTTTCACCTCCATTTTCCAAGTGGTGGGATTAAAGGTATGTTTATCATGCCTCGTTAATAAGGACATCTATCCCCTCTCGTAAGTACATGATGGAATTTGAAAATATTTTCTTCTGGGTTTTGAAACATTCACATTGTTATCAATCTTCAAGCTGCAGAAACTTGTGCATATACATAGTTGTAACCTAGCACCAAAATCTACATTTGTTATCATATCCCCTCTGTGCTGGGTCCTTTTATGTCAACTTGACACAAGCTTACAGTCTGAGAGGAAGGAACTTCAATTGAGAAAATGCCTCCATAAGATTGTGCCGTAGGTTAGAAGGCCTATAGGTCATTTCTTAAATAATAATTGATATGGGAGGGCCTAGCCTATTGTTTATGGTGCCGTCCCTGGGCTGGTGGTCCAGAGTGCTGTAAGAAAGGCTGAGTGAGCCATGGTGAGCAAGCCAATAGTAACCAGCATTCCCCCATGGCCTCTGAATTAGTTCTGGCCTTCAGGTTCCTGCCCTGACTTTGCTCAGTGAGGAACTGTGATGTATAGGTAAAATGAACCCTTTCCTTCCCAATTTCATTCTTCCTTCCCTCTTCAGTTTTCCTGGTCTCCATAGCTATCATTCCGATCTTTCCCTGATTTATGTATATGTCATTATTCTAGCTTGCATTTCTGCTGCTGTGTTAATCACCATGACCAAAAACAACTTGTGGAGAAAAGAGTTTATTTCAGCTTTTGACTCCCAGGTCATAGTACAGCCAAGAGCAGGACCTTGAAGCAGACACTGAGGAATGACCATGGCAGACTACACTTACTGGCTTGGTCCCAGCATCGTGTTCTGCTACCTTTCTTACTAAGCCTAGGCCCATAGGGACTCAGCCCTCCTACTTGAATTAGCAATCAAGAAAATGCCCTGGGTGTGAACACAGGTCAGTCTGGTGGAGGCAGCTCTTCAATTGAGGCTCCCTTGTTCCAGGTGTGCAAGTTGACAGCCATCATAGTATTGCTGCCTCAGTGAGGATTTTTTTTTTAATATATTTATGCATATGGGTGTTTTGCCTGAATCTATGTTTGTGCACTACTTGCATGCCTTGTGCTAACAAAGGCCAGGAGAGGGCATTGATCCCCACAAAATGGATTTACAGACAATTGTGAGCTGCCATATTGGGCGCTGGGAATTGAACCCCAGGCCTCGTAACCACTGCGCCTTCCCTTCAGCCCCATACTCTCTTTTTTGCTCCCTCTTTCCTCCACCAGTAATTAAGAGTTCTTTATAGCTGGGCGGTGGTGGAGTAAACCTTTAATCCCAGCAGGGGATCTCTGTGAGTTCGAGGCCAGCCTGGTCTACAGAGTGAGTTCCAGGACAGGCTCCAAAGCTACAGAGAAACCCTGTCTCGAAAAACAGAAAACAAACAAACAAAACAAAACAACAAAAAAGTGCTTTATATCAGGTCATGTGAACAAGGGTGTTTTGTTGTTGTTGTTAATCTATTATTTAATATATATGTACCTGAGTATATGCATGTGAGCTTTGTGCATGCTGGAGCCTGTGAGTGTTGGAGGAGGTGTCAGGAGTCAGATGGTGGTGAGCCATCGCCTGAGTGCTGGGAACTGGACCCAGTCCGGTGCTAGAGCAGCGAGGGCTTTTATGCACTGAAGCATCTCTCCATCCCCCAAAAAAGGGTTCTGTTTGATGCTGAAGTAATTACTTTGTGATATGAAAAATTTGTTTTAGAAGTCAGACTTAGTATTTAAACTTCCCATATTGTGTTTTGTAGCGCCGTCTGGAACAAGAGGCTGAGAAGAGGATAGTAATGTTGGCCGAGAGAGCCCACCATGAAGCTGTTATGTAAGACTCTTGCTTCCTCTGGCATTCAGCCTCTCTTCCTGGCTGTCTAGTGTATTCTTAGCTTATCTTCTCTTGTGCACCCTTGTTCTCTTTGTGCCTCCTACCCTTTCTGCTCCACCCTTTCCATAATGTGATAAGGTAGCAATAATCTACTCTTTGAAGTTAGACACTGGCATGCATGCTGATTAACCACTGGAAAAGTATTTTTAAATTATTTTTATTACATTTATTTATTTAGGTAGATATGTATATTTAATGGTACATTAGTGCCATAATGTGAGTACGAAAGTTGAAAAACTTACAGGAAGTTGAATCTCTCTTTCATCATGTGGGTTCTAGGGATGGAACTCATGGCAAGTACCTTTACCCATGGAGCCATCTCACTGGCCTCGTTGGATTTTTTTTTTTTTGAGACAGGGTTTCTCTGTGTAACAGCCCTGGCTGTCCTGGAACTTGCTTTGTAGACCAGGCTGCCCTCTGCCTTCCAAGTGCTGGGATTAAAGGCATGCACCACCACCACCTAGTGGAAGAATTCTTAAGAAAATAAACTTGAAAAAAATTCCATCCAGACATGGTGGTACTCACTTAAAATAATGCCATTGCTTGGGAGGCTGAGGAAGGAACTTCACCAGTTGTAGGCCAGCCTGTACTGCATAGAAAGGCCCTGTTATAAACAAACCTAAAGTAGAGCTATAGGGCAACTGTGTGGAATTGTCAGAAGATATGTGTTTTAACACTAGAGTGTGTTTTTGTCAAGAATGGACTCCAGGTCTCCATGGTTTATTTCTTGTTAATTGTAATGATGAGTCTGGCAGCTTTCTTCAGGTAGGGATTCACCTTGGAGTTCTGTAGGTCCTCATATGGACATGGATAGAAGAGGACATGGGAAATTGGTGCCACTTTAATGTGTGAGGTGCTAGAAATTGAAAACCCAGACTTGCACTTCCATTACACCCTGAGCTACATCCCCAGACACTCCCTTCACTTTTTGAAGCAGTCTTGCTAAATTGCCAAGGCCAGCCCTGTACATGTTAGGTAGCCCAAACAGGCCATGAACGTGTTAGCCTCCTGCTCAGCTTCCTGAATAGTTAGGATTAAAGGTATGTCACTGTCCCTACGTTTTTATTTTTGTTTTTTTTTTTTTTTTAAGAGACAGGGTCTTGTTATAACTCAAATTGTCAGCCAACTTGTACCATCATCAATGGCTAAGACATTATTTTTCACTTAACTGCTGAGGGAGAACTTAGTCACATGGTCTCCATCTACCTATTGAGTAGTTACTCATAAGTTAAATTGTGGTAGTGTCATGTGTGTCCTATGTTCTGCCCTCCCCCAGACTCTGATGCTAGGGGTTAACCCCAGGTACTTGCACATGCTAAGCAAGTAGTCTTTCCTTGAACTACATACTCAGCGTAGTAGTGATCAGAATAACATTTGGAACATAAAGCTGTCATTGTTCTCTTAGGTAGTATTTAAGACTTAGACATGAGCCAGGTGTGGTGATGCCTGATTTTAATTCCAGCACTCCAGAGGCAGAGGCAGCAGCAGGTGGATCTCTGATTTTGAGGCCAGGCTGGTTGATCTACATAGGGTCACCCTGACTCAAAACACCCTCCCACCCAACACACACAAGAAACTTAGGCCTATATTTTGGGTTCTTAAATATATGTATGTATGTCTTTCAGACAGTTGAACACTGCTGGAAGAAATGTTTTTAAAGAGAATGTGTATCTTCACAAGGCTCTTACATACCACTTGAAGGAAGCTGAAACACGACAGAAAAACTCCAAGAAGTTGCAAGAAAGTCATTCCTGCCTTTTACATCAAAAGGTTCCCACTCTCATTTAGACTGTCCTTTATTTTGGGGGGGGGTTGAGACAGGGTTTCTCTGTGGCTTTGGGAGCTGTTCTTCCTTTTTTTTCCTTACGGATCATGTTGGTAAATACCAAGAATTGAGCATAATAATGATAGATAAGGATAGCAGTAGTACTTTCCTTCTGTCTTGATAACTGTCTCATTGGAAAAGATTGTTAAATAAATTTAAAGATACATTAGACATGATTTTGCAAATATATCAGAAATATAAACATGACTCTTATCCTCTAATACCTTAGAATTCTCATTTTGTTTTATTGTTGGATCCTAAATCATTTAGGAATTGGTTTTACTGTAACAGATTTCACATTAGTGGTATCACCACATAAGGTTTATTTATTCTTTTACCTGAAGGATGCTTGAAGGAAAGCAATCCACATCAAGATTGTGTTCCTTAATTCTCTGCACCATATCACTTATATTTTTATTTTGTACATATGGATGTTTTGCCTGCATGCATATCTGTGCACCATGTGCATGCAGTGCCCGTGGAGGACAGAAGAGGGCGTCAGATTCCCTGCCACTAGACCTATAGACAGTTGTGAGCCACTTGATGGATGCTGGGATTGAAATCAGCCAGTGCTCTTTACTGCTGAGCCATCTGTCTAGCCCTCAACTTAAACATTTTTTTTTTTTTTCATTTTAGTGGTTGTGTATGTTGAGAACCTCATGGTCAGGATGGCTGGTAGAGTCCTAAGTATTATTCCACAACAGGAGGGAAAGATAAGAAAACAAAACAAAACAACAAAACATAGCTCCTTTGAAAATCTTCCCAGGTGTCCTATTCCCACTTACATCTCAGCCAGGTGGTGGTGGTGGCACATGCCTTTAATCTCAACACTTGGGAGACAGAGCAAGTTCCAGGACAGCCAGAACTACACAGAGAATTCTGTCTGGAAAAAAAAGCAAGCAAGCAAAATAAAAATCCACTTATATTGCAGCCTGGCATTGCTGAACCGTAAGGGACCCTGGAAATTTCAGCTGGCTTGAAGGAAAGGGAGAATGGGCATTAGGACAGACAAATAGGGGCCTGCTACAGTTTTCTTTATAGGCTTGCTAGTGGTTTTTGTACAGTTTTATTTTAATATAAAATATGTAACCTTATAATTATAAAGGAATTATATAAGAATTATAAAGGAAGTTTGAAAGTTTCCTAGTTAATAAAATCAATGGATTGCCTCACAAGCCTAGGCAAGGACCCATGGATGTTTTTTTTCTGTTCACAGAGATACCAAAATAATTGCCTTAACCTGACATGAAGCTCAAATCCCCGTAGGTAATAGAAATTATTGAGAGACTTTTAAGTTCTAGAATGTTTAAAGAAAAAAAAGTCACCTTCTGTGTTTTAGGAAATCAATGAGCTGTTGATTAAGGAAAAGATTATGCAACTTACCCAGCAGAGATCACAAATCCAAACTCTTCAAAAGAAGGTGATAAGCTTGGAGAATGCACTGACTTTTATGACCACAGAGTTTGAGGCTGAAGTTCTGAAACTGCAGCAAAAGGCAATTATAGAGAACCAAGCAGGCCAGGTAGAAATTGAGAAGCTGCAGCAACTTCTTCAGATGAAGGACAAGGAAATGAATCGAGTGAAAAAGCTGGCTAAGAACATCCTGGACCAGAGGACAGAAGTGGAGCAGTTCTTTCTAGATGCTCTGTACCAAGTGAAACAACAGATTCTGATCAACAGGAAGCATTACAAGCAGATAGCACAAGCTGCTTTCAATTTAAAAATGAGAGCAGCCTGTGCGGGAACAACAGCATATCCCAGAATCAGGACCTTTGATGGCAAAGAATATAGTACCAATAGTGTGCATCAGGATCTCATGGAGGCTGAAAAATGGTAATGCTGTCATATAGTCTCTCTGTGCCCTGCTTTCTTATCCTTTAAAAAAATGAGAACTCAGCAGGTTGTGGTGGCTCATGCCTATAGTATGTGTTCTTAGTAGCTATCCCCATTTATTTCACAACAGAAGTTTGTAAAGGTGACTATTATTTTGTGTTGAGTGACATCGCTGTAATGTCTTTTACTTTCTTTATCTTAGTTCTTATAAATTGGAAATTTGTGGAAAAATCTTGATTAGATTCAGGTTAAACTTTTTTTTTTTTTTTTTGAGATTCTGGTGGTCCTAGAACTCTCTGTGGATCAGGCTGGCCTTGAACACAGAGATCTGCCTGACTCTGCCTCCGGAGTGCTGGAATTAAAGGTGTGCACCACCACAGCTGTCTAGGTTAAACATTTTTTAATAAGTTTACTTTTCCCACTCCTTTGATGCTGTTCCTTTACTATTCTGAGATAAAACTAATAGGTAACAATAATTATATAATTTTTAAAAATAAGTATAGTAATTCTTTATAGTGACTGTCTTACATAAATCTTCCATGGACTGGAGGGCATTCGGTAATGCTCTCTACATCACTGTATTAACCAAAAGTCTCAACATTTCCAAAGTGTCAAGAGACTTTCTCATACTATGGCAAATGGGATGTCCATGGCAGGGCAGACTATACTGGAGGTGTGTTTAGTTTCTCTTTATTACCGTGCTTTAGTAGTCTGCCCACTATAACCTGCCAGTTTGAATCACAGTACATGTTGTGTTTCTCGTTTCATTTTATGATGACAGAACATTTTGGATTGGCTAGCTGGTAATCTTTTTCAAATTTTATAGTTTTTTTAAATGTGAATAGTTTACACTGAAATCATTATATAGTATCTGGTTATTCTATAGAAATCTTCTATTTACATACTTTGTATTTTTTAAAGAAGATAAGCTTACTTTGATCACATTTTTTACCTTTTATTTTTCTTTTTAATTCTTCAGGCCAAGTGCTCAAAAAAATGTGGATATTGGAGATTTGACCTGGGAGCAAAAGGAGAAAGTCTTAAGATTGCTTTTTGCAAAAATGAATGGTTTTGCTGCTAGGTAATTGCCCATTTGTGTAATGAAATGTCAGGTTGTCAAACCTAGAAATCACGTAAGAATTAAAGGAAATATATTAAAGGACCAGAAAAGGCCATAGCTACTTGCTCAGTTGTTGCAATGTTTAGAGACAAAGAGTGGGAGATGAACAAATAAACACAAAAACAAAAGATGTGGAAGTGGGAGAGAGAAAATAAATCTCAGCTGTTTAAGGTGATGCTTCCAAAGGATCACTGATTGGCTGAATCTATGACACCTTCAGGGAAACTTAACTACTGAGACTGTACTGGTTTGCAAAGATGAGTAAATTATTTTGGGCTGATGTTTGTTTGTTTTGTAGCAGAGTCTCGTGTAGCTTAGGTTTTTTACTTCACTACATCACAGAGGCTAGTCTTGAACTCTTGATCTGCCTCCACCTCCCAAGTAAGAATAATAATGAGGAACTTGGTAAAAGTTCATAGTTGACTGTATAACTGTGAATTCAACAGTATTTTGCAATTGATCTAAGTTGGAGGAATATAAACAGTAAACAGCTAAAATGAATGACTTAGCAGTCATTTAGGCAATATTAGTATTTTGCTAAGGATTTTTTTTCATGTTTAACTACCAGAGTATTGAATGTTGCTACCATTTAAATAGGTTTATACTATTTTCATTGCACTCTATATCTCTATAAACACACTCACTCACAATAATGAATGAGTTACATTCCATCTCCTGTTTATCACCCTACACTTTCTGAAGTATGCTGGGCCTGCCACCACTGCCTAACTGTTCTGTGTCTACATGCCCTGCAGACACGTCCTCTCTTTCTGTTAAGTTAACCTTGGATATTAGCTCAAGCTTTCCCTTTGTTAGACCTTTCTTAAGCCTCACAATGAAGGCAGAATCCCTAATCTAGGTCTTCATACCTTCATATTTATATATTCCTCTCACCTCCAGAGGTGGAAGTGGGAGGATCAGGAGTTCAGGGCCATACTCGGTTATCTCCCTATCTCAAAACCACTAAAAGCCATTCACTTGACATAAATTCTTTTTTTGTTGTTTAGTTCCCAGGATCTACCTGTGTCCCCCTCCAAATGCTAGATTTGAACTCATGTCTTCTTGCTTTCTCAGCAAGTACTCTTAAACACTGACCCATCTTCCTAGTTCCATGTGGTTCATTTGTGGGAAGACAGCTTTGCCAGGTGTTTGATCAGTTCCTTTGTTCAGCTATTAGGCATTAACCACTTTTCATGAGTACCTTCATTATAGTTATCTCCATAAATATTTGTTTCTTGAATTCAACATGTCTCAACTTTAAGATTATATTCTATTACTTAGTACATCATATCTTAGCCAGGCAGTGGTGGCACAAGTATTTAACCCCAGCACTTGGGAGGCAGAGGCAGGCAGATTTCTGTGACCAGGCCAGCATAGTCTACAGAGAGAGTTCCAGGACAGCCAGGTCTGTTACACAGAGAAACCCTGTCTTGAAAAACCAAAAACAAACAAACAAGCAAAACAAAACAAAAATAAACTCTATATGCATATATGTGTATAAAACTCATTCTAAAAATGAAAACCTTATCCAGCTGAAATTTGACTCAGCATTTTAAGGGTATTGAAATAGGAAGGCACAAAGAGACATTGCCTCATTTGTCTGCTGATGTTTATCCATGATAGGAAATACAATCAGAGTTCGAAGCCTCCTGTTCCAGACCATGTTTCTGACAGTGGAGAGATGAAAGAAAATGGGTAAGATTTTTTCCTGCTAGAGCTATGAATAAAATCCTGATCACAGAGTCCCTTGTGGATATTTTATAGCCCGAGTTAAATGAGAATGATTTAGCCAAGTCTATTGTTTTGAACCAAATTCTATGCATGACTGTTGACAGCACTATTTTGTTATTATAGGGATGAAACTAATCTTCCAGACCAAACCTTCATCACCCAGCAAGCTCCAGTATCAGACTCCAGTAAAATTATGTCACCAGGTGTTACTCCTAAAGGATTACAGGACTCTAACACAGTAAGGAATCTGCTATCTAGTCAGATAGTATACCACTGGTACCTTTCACTATGTGGCTTCTTGATAGTTCACAGTTCTCTACTACCTAAACAACTCTTAAGGAAAGATCATAGAAAAGTTTATAACAAAGTACATACTAATAAGGCAGCATATTATCTGTATCTGGAGAAACTATAGATTCCTTTTTGAAATCGGTAGCTTAGTTAAAACATGTATTTCATTACTACTGTTGTCGGGGCTGGTGATTAACCCTTGTGCCTTCCTGTGGAGCTACCCCTAGGCACCCTGTCTTTTATAGAAGCATAGACATACAATCTTTGCAATTCTTGGCTTTGAGGATAGGTCAGAACCACAAATCACTATAACCTAGAGAACAAAGGAAGGAAAAGACCGTTTTTTCCCCCAAGGGCTTTTTATTTGTACGTGGTCATTCATCATTAGTACACAATCTGACAAAATTCAGATGAGGCCATAAAAGAACAAAAAGGGAAAATTGTGGCTTTCTGTTTCAGTGACACTAACCTGAATATGATGGTAGATTTCATCTAAGAAACAAGAATCTCTTTGAGCACAGGCAGCTGGCCAGATCAGTTGATTCTAATTAGAGTGACACAGTTCTGATCAGTCAGTGTTTTTAAAAGGTAACTTCCTTCATATCTAAGGAAAATGTTAGGAGTTTTTGTGACTAAATTCTACTTGGAATTTCCCAAAATTATTGGATTGAATTAGGTATGAACTGTGTTTTATAAGAAAACAAAGGGTATTGTAATCACAAACTACAAATTTCTACTTGGCTTTAGGATGGAAAAAAAAAAAAAAAGAGTTGTGTTTTGTTTATGACTGAAGGCTCTGAATCCTACCAGAGGTGAATACTCTAATAACCTTAGAATCACCACCTTTATTTTAACTCACCAGCTAAGCTGATGGACTAGAGCAGCTCTGTCCATGTGACTGTACAGAGTAGTGTAGTGAATGACCATTACCACATGTCACTATGCACTGGAGATTCAGCTAGCAGAGCCAGCAGCCATCTAGTTCAGAAAACCAGGCTTCAGACAGGGTAAACAGACAGACAGAAACTACTCTGGTCAGCACATCAGCCTCCTCTGACTTCAGGGTTACAGCATCAGAGAAGCAAGTGGTGGCACTGTCAAAGCATGAACTTAAGTTTCTTGTAACCCAATCAATTATGCTATATGAAAAGATCTTTCATTAAAAGTAACAGCTGATGAGAACTGCTGGCAATAGAGAGAATAACATAAATTTTGGCAAATAATAATAGGTTAGGCTTGCTTAAGGCAAAGTGTTTTACCCACTTTCATGATTGGAACATTCTTTGATTTCTGGGTCAAAAACAACTTGTGAAATAAGTTTTCTAAGGAATCTTTGCATGTGAATTAATGGATTACTGATTGCTAAAGCAAACCATGAAAAATGGCACACATAATGAAAAGCTAACATGTCACTTGCATCCTGAGGTATCTGAGAAGTATTTTAAGAAAAGAACATGAACAGTGATAGAATTAAGTAGTGGTAGAATCAAAACAAGAAGAAGGTGGCACTGAGCAGAAAAGAAGCAGTTGTCACAATGTGGGGATGAGTAAAAATAGGTTACATCTTTGTAGTGTGGGACTCGATGGAGGGCTGTGTTTGAGGCTCAAGCAGAGGGTGAACTGTTTCTATCCTACTTCCCTATTCAAGAAACCTTCTATTTACTGGAAGATCTGTCCCTATGCTGACATTGCCCTCCAAGTCATTAGAAGTAGTGAACTGTTAGAAGATGGTTCTAAGCTCTCAGTCCAGGTAAACACTTCACATCCAGATCAGATGCATGAAGAGCAAGTGCAGACCTGGCATTAGTGTTTCCCTGCAGTCTCCCTATTAGTTTGAAGGAACTGACAGTTCTGAGAAAGTTTAGCTGCAATATATTCCATTCTCATGGATCTGATTTGAGCAAAGATGGCAAGTGAGGGTGGCCAAGAGTGATGGGAAATTACTCTGGTTGGACTGAGTCTCGAAGAACTTGTTCTCAACGCCCCATGGTGGGCATGACTACAGCAGGTGAGGAAAGAGTAGCATCCTCTTCTTTCCACTGAGATGTGATAGTCTTTAGCTGAGTGTAAAACTGGATGCCCTAAAAGAGACAGAAGAAGAGTCAGCTTATACGCCCAGGAGTACATAACTTTACATTAATGTTTGAATAATTGATGCCACAAAGTCCAAGGTTCATGGGATAGTCTACCTAAAACACTTAAACATTTATGGGCATGTAGAGAGATGGCTCAGCTATTAAGAACACCTCTGCTTGTGCAGGGGACTCAGGTTGGATTCCCAGCACCCACTTGGCAGCTCACGATCACCTGCAACTCCAGTTCTAGGGAATCCAACATTCCCTTCTGGCCTCTGAGGGAATCAGTCACACACAGTACACACACACACACACACACACACACACACATACATAAATAGGCAACACACACACACAGACAAAATTAAAAGAACCCCCCCCTCCAAAATAAAAACCACATTTATGGGGCTGGGATATAGCTCAGTTGGTAGAATACTTGTCCAATATGCATGAAGCCCTGAATTCCGTCTCTAACATGGAATAAACCAGGCATGGTAATACATGCCTGTAATTCCAAGATTCAAGAGGTAGAGGCAGGAGGATCATCCTTAGCTACAACAGTTAGTTGGAGACCACCTTAGGATATATAAGGCCATGTCCCCCAAAGTACACGAGTCTTTGTGGGAAAAACAGTACCACTTTAGGACCTGAGTTCAAATTCCCAGAGCCCATGTACAAGTCAGGTGCAGTAGCAGGCTTTAGGGACCCTGTGTGGTGAGATGGGAGGGAGAGATAGGAGACTCTGCCAGCTCAAGGGCCACAACAAAGAGCTGGTGTGGCAAACGACAAGGAGTCAAGACAGCAAGGATCAACTTCCAATTTGTCCTCTGACCTCTGCATGGATCCCACCCTCCCCACCTCTCACACAAAGATTAAATAATAAAAAAAACTTAGCATAATACCTGTCACATACTAAACAGTCAAACCTTATATAACATTAATATACTGAAGTTAGAATTTTAAGCATAAGAGTAGACAAACTGAACAATGTAATCTTGTTAAGTTTTCAGGCCACTCTATTTCAGAGCTGACTATGCAGCAAAGCCAACAGACTTTGCTCAAATCCTGCTTCTACCCTTTACTATAGCTTAACCTTGAGCCTTGTCTATGATATAAGCTCACCTTTTATCAGTGTGGTAAGGAGAAACTGAAGTAACATGGCAAAGCCACTGGTATTCAACAATTTCTAGTAGTGAGTGATAATGTGCTGTCTATATAAAGTTGCAAACCTAAAATAGTGTGCAGATCCACTTCTAAATAAGACCTATGTTCTATCCCATCTCACCTAATATATGTATAATTTCTTATAGAAAAATATACTTGAAGATCCTTAAGGTAAGACATGATAAATGGATAGTATTCAGAGGACAGAGGGTCACAGGAAAAAGAAATGATCTATACAAAGATTTTGGTTTCCTTATGCTCGTTCCTCAAAACCCATTGCCTTGGGTTACCCATGAAGAGACAGGTTTGACAAAATTTTGTTAACTTTTAAATCCTTTTTTAGGAGCCTGAGAAATAGAGCAGAAAAGATGACTCCATAGCCGATGCCAGCCAGTCCTTATGTAATCTTGCTCTGAATATGTTCAAGACAGTTTCTCAAAGGAAAAGAGAATTCCAACTCAACAGTTACCTGTTTGCCATAGAAATTGGTGTCTCCCCTGAAGGAAGATCGAGAGCCGGTGAAGGAAAACATTGGCAAAGGCACTGGAATGGGGACATTCACGCCCACCTAGAAAGAAGGAATGCACATGAAGTACTGATGAACAGGCCCAAACCACAGAGCGTCCATGTAGAAGCACATAGACAGCGGAGGCCAATTTTACTTTTTGTTTTTTAGATTGTAGAGTTTGTTTGGTTTTTGGTTTTTGGAGATAACAATTCTAAGTAATCTTGCACCCTTTGCTCCACCCTAAGAACTTTCATTCCTGAGGAAGGAATGGGGAATTATGGGCAATTAAAGGTGCAGTCTTCAAACAAGTTGCAGTTGACTGATGGCTGTTTACTGATTCCTCCTTCTAGCTGTAAGGACCTTCAAAAATTGCATTCACAAACCTGTCCGACATCCACCATGTGAGAATATTTCCGTGCAGTGGCCCCATTGGTGGTGAAGATGGCAGTTCCGTTTCCATACGGGTTGTCATTGACAATCTTGATGGCCTCGTCCAGTGTCTCCGTCTCCAGAACCACAAGGACTGGACCAAAAATCTCCTCTTTGTAGCAGGTCATACTTGGCTGTCAGGAGAGATGGATCCAGAAAAGAAGTCAGCTTTTTGAATGGAGTACTTTATGCTTTTTTAGCATTCTGACCCATTGTCTCCACAAGCAGCTTTCGAGCTACTAATCTTCCATATTTTCTTACTTGTGTCCCACCATACAACAACTAACTTGAAATTCTTGCATTCTTTGCTTTTCTTAGGACTCCCTTTTCACATTCAAGAGCCATCACCAGCTTTTTAAGAAATTTATTATATATGCAGCGTTCTGCCTGCATGTACATCTGCAGGCCAGAAGAGGGCACGGGATCTCACTATAGATGGTTGCTGGGAATAGAACTCTGGACCTCTGGAAGAGTAGCCAGTGTTCTTAACCTCTGAGCCATCTTTCCGGGTCCTACCAGCCCTTTTTTTTAATACCTGTACAACTTGTTTCATAAGTTGTTAATGAAAGTTACATGACAAGTTTGTTTTTTGGTTTTTTTTTTTTTGAGACTGGGCTAGCTAGGTGGTGGTGGCATACACCTTGGGAGGCAGAGGCAGACAGATCTTGGTGAGTTCTAGGCCAGCCTGGTCTCAAAGCTACACAGAGAAACCCTGTCTTGAAAAACAAAACAAAACACCAAAAAACAAACAACAACAAAAAACAAAAAACAAACAAACAAAAAATCCCCAACAAAACAAAAAGAAAGAAACTCCTTGCGAATGTTCTGTAACTATCCATTCTCACTCATTCCTTTGCTTCCAAATACCTCTCCAATTTTGATACTGGGTTCTAGTTAAACATTCAAAACATCTTTCACCATTGCATCTAGTCAGTAAGTTTTTCCCCTGCAATTCTGTGACAAAAAAACTTCAACCTATTATCTTCCAGGATTAGTGAAGACATACAACAAAAAAGTTGCCTTAATTTAATCATGAACTTTAGCTAAGAGACTTTCAAACTCTGATCAATAAAAATTAGTAGATGATTTCTTTTTCATTTGTTTCATTCTGGTAAAGAGGAAGTTAACTTTTGGGTAAAGAGGAAATTAACTATGAATACTGGGTAGTTAATGCATCGATTGGAACACTGGAATAGCTATGAGCAAGTGGGAAAAGGCAATGTAAAGGGTTTTAACTCCTGCTTGTAGGCCAAATGTGGCAGCTATTTGTTCTAATACAGCCACAAGCCAGGAATAGTTTTTACCTTTCTTTAATGGTTAGGAAAACATTCAGAGGACTATTCATGACATAAATTTATAAAATGCAAATGTGTGTCCATAAATACAATTTTACTGGAACACAGCCATCCATGTGTGGTTGATTTTATACTCTACACCAGAGTAACTATGACAGAGACTGCATCTCTGCAAAGCTGAGGATCTTTACCCAGGGAGAGTCTGATGTCCTGGTTGGTTTTGAGTCATCTTGATATAGCCCAGTCACCTGGGATGAGGAACCTTAACTGACGAAATGCCCCCATTCTGTGTCCTATTTTCTTGGTTACTAATTGGTGGCAGAGGGCCAAGCCCACTTCTGGTGGTGCCATCCCGGGGCAAGTGGCTCTGTATTGTATATAAAATCAAGGTGAACTATCCATGGGGATCAAGCCTGTAGGCAGCCTTCCTGCTTCAGTTTCTGCCTCCAGACTCCTGTATGAGCTCCTATCCTGAGTTCCCTCAGTGACTGACTGTGATCAGGTACACCCCTTTTCCCCTAAGTAGCGTTAGTCATGTTTTATCACAGCCATAGAAAGCAAAGCAGGGCATGTACCATAAAGCGAAAAGAACTCTGGTTGGAAGTCAGGAAGACTTATGTAGCTTTCAGACAGAATAACCAAGCAATCCTGGCAAGAGTTATTCAAGTACCTTCTCCATAGCCTCTAGGGTGTTTTCATTTCTTGCATTAGTAAAATAATCCAGAGTTGTTTACCTTGACATTGGAGATGATGGTTGGTCCAACAAAGTTACCATTTTCATAGCCTTTGACTTTAATTTTTCGCCCATCCAGAAGGATGGAAGCTCCCTCTTTTGTTCCACTGTCAATCAGACTGCAGACTCGCTCTTTGGCTGCAGGGGTGATCAGAGGGCCAAGATCAGCTCCGGGCTGGTCCCCTATAAAACAAGAAATGTCTAAGGTTGTTACCAACACAAAATCTACCTGCTGAAATAACGGAATGACAAGTAGAGCTAAAGAGAGGCAATGGTAGAAGTATACACAGCTGCTTCCCTGGGCAAGGCCAATGCTAAATAAGAGGTTAATGCCACAGAAGCAACGTCTACAGCTACCTGGCAGGTGACCGATTAATTACCTGCATTCACTCGCAGGTTTTTGGCACGCTCCACCAGCTCCGGCAGCCACTTTTTAGCTTCTCCAACAAGGATGGCTGTTGAAAGAGCCATGCAGCGTTGGCCAGCAGCTCCAAATGCAGCCCCGACCAGCTGGTTTAGGGTATTTTCCTTATTGGCATCTGGCATGACTACTCCGTGGTTTTTGGCTCCCTAAAGAAATGCAGAAAGTACACAGGTCGTCTTAGCTAAGTTAAGCCAAAAAACTTAAGCAAAGAATCATTCATACACACACACACACACACACACACACACACACACACATATGAAATGAGAATTTAAGGAAGAAAGACTTGTTTTGAACAAAGATTTTTTAAATTTTTAAATTTTGCAGTATTGGGAATTAAACCTAGGTGTCATGCATGGCAAGGAAATGTCAGCCACTGAGGTATCTCTCTTTTTAAACATTTTATTTGAGATAGAGTCTCACTTAGTTGCCAAAGCTAGTATTGAATTCACTCTGTAGAATAGGCCAGAGATAATTTTTAATACTGCTGAAATATAAGCAATACTAAACAGGGTTCCATGTTATTTTAATTTCCTTGGGAAACTGATATTGATTTAGGTCAAAACCATTTACAAGATGGTGGTGGCAGGGAGGGGTTGTTACTTTTCCAGTTGACAGAAGCTGGGCAGTGGTTTAATCCCAGTGTTTGGGAGGCAGAGGCTGGTGGATTTCTGAGTTTGAGGCCAGCATGGTCTACAGAGTGTGTTTCAGGACAGCCAGGGCTACACAGAAAAACCTTGTCTCAAAATACTGAAACAAAACAAAAAATATTAGAATACAAAAGTAAACTATGCATTATATGAGGAAATACGAACCAGAGCCTTTCCAATTCCTTAATAAACTGTTGTAAAGATGAAATAAACTCAGGGATAACCATACCTTTGTCATATTTTTAAGCCATATGATTAGTAGTTAGGGTACATTAAGGTATAACAAGGTCTAGAAACAAAAATTTGGCTGATAATGCCGAATACTAAAGAATTCAAGCAACATTTATGAGGAGGATTATGCCCTTGGTCACCAAGATTAACTGTTTATGATAAAAGATGATCACTATAACAATAAAACTTCACAAGGTTCAGAGACTACAGGAGAAGATGTTCAGGATGAAATGACAAATACTGGCCTTCAGGGGACATGGGATGAGTGACCTGTCTACTGAGGACAATCCCTAGATCTTACATATTCAGCAAATTTTGAGGAGCAAAAGAAATGAGGAGTTACCATATTGGCTTGAACCCTCTTGCCATTTCTTGACCCTCTTTCAAAGATGTACTCTCCTGCCTGGTTGGAGCCCACAAAGCTGATTGCTTTGATGTCTGGATGATCGCAAATAAAATTGACAGCTTTAAAAAGGAAATAAATAATTACCAAAAAGAATAAAAGCCCATAGTCTTATCAACACAATTCTCTCTTTCCCTCAGACTGTGAATTAAAATTCATACATTTCTACATGGATATACCACTGTGATGTGCTCTTATTTCTCTAATGAAATTACAATTTTGTTTTTGTTTTGAGACATGACCTCACTATGTAGCCCTGGCTGGCCTGGAACTCACTAGACCAGGCTGGTCTCAAACTCAGAGATCCACTTGCTTCTGTCTCCCAAATCCTGGTTTTATAATCATGTGCCACCACAACCATTTTTAATTTATAAATTCTACTTAATTGATTTATTCATGAATATTTTAGAAACACGTTAATCTCTGAAAGCCACAGTTTTTCTAAACTTTATTATTGTATGTGTGTGTGATGATGATGATGATGTATGTCCCTCTGTGCATGTAGACATCAGAGGGCAGCTTTGTGGAATTGGTTTTCTCCTGCCACATGAGTTCCAAGGAATCTTGCTTACTTGCCAAATGCCTTTACATGCTGCTCTGTTTTGACAGCCCAAAAGGTTCCTCTCTCTCTCTCTCAAAATCTGGTTTTGGTTTTTTTGAAACAAAGGCTCTATCTTTGGCTGTCCTGGAACTAGCTCCTGTAGACCAGGGTGGCTTCAAACTCACACACATCCACTTGCCTCTGCCGCCTGAGTGCTGGGATTAAAGGTGTAGCTAAGGCTACAATTTTTATTTTCATCAAATAAAATAACACTCTTTCAAAACTTGACATTTTTATTTTATCCTTCAAGAATGTACTATGTCTAAGATTCTCAGACACTTAGACCTTCATCCAAGAGGTATATGAATAGGACCCAATGTTTAAAAGTAAGAACCAGAGCCAACCTTCCTGGATAGACATAACCTAATTTTCCTAGTTTCTGGCAGTGTTACCTAGAGCATATGATTTAATTGCACTCTGCCTCTATTTTCTCTGGTAAGATGAAAAATAGTGCCTTCCTTAAAGGATTGTTGAGGTTTTAAAGAAGAAGATAAACTTTCTCTTTAATCTTTGTCCGGTTTTAATTCATTTTTCTGGTGTCCTAGAGTATAGTATAGGAGAAGAAACACTGCTCCTCCTTAGTTAGTTACTTTAGTTCATCCAGATGGCAAGATGGTCAGGAAACATGACTTTAAAACACAGAGGTAAATCCTTCCTTGCGAATTTCCTCATCCTAAAATCCCCAATTACAGAGCTGGAGAGATGGCTCAGTGGTTAAGAATATGAGGATATGAACTCAGGTCTCTGTACCCACACTGGGCACCTCACAAACATCTGTAACTCCAATTGCAGGAGATCCATTGCCCAGATCTGGCCCCCATGGGTACCCACACATATGTGGCAGACACAAAGAATCACATATACATAAACAAACATTAAAATTACCAAGCTGGATGATGGTGGCTCACGCCTTTAATCCTAGCAGTCAAGAGGCAAAGACAGGAGGATCTCTGTGAGTTTGAGGCCAGCCTGGTCTACAAAACGAGTGCCAGGATAGGCTCCAAAGCTACACAGAGAAACCCTGTCTTAGAAAAAACAATTACCAATCAATACTGAACACCTTAATTTCTTTGGGAGCCAGGTAAGTAGCCACATAAAAAAGTTACCTTCATGCTGCCCATGGATGATATTCAGTGCTCCATCAGGGGTACCAGAGTCCTGAAACAATTTAGCAAGAAGCATGGTTGCTCCAGGCACTCGCTCTGACGGTTTCATTAGGAAAGTATTTCCACAAACTATAGCCATGGGAAACATCCAAAGGGGGATCATGGCAGGGAAATTAAAGGGTGCAATGCCTGCACACACACCCAGAGGCAGACGGTAGGAGTAAAGGTCCATGTCTTTGGTGATAGATGGCATGGTCTCTCCCATCAGGAGGGATGTGACACTACAGGCATGCTCAACCACCTCTGCAAGAGAGAAGATGAAGGCTGAATACTACTTATCTTTGTTATGCTTTTATTCAGTCCTGAGAATAAGGGTGGGTCAGACCAATGACAGGGATTTGTGCTTCCATGTGGGAAGATTAAATAAACTAATTCTCTGAGTGGGTAAGAAAGACAGTGAGATGCACATTTGTTCTGAAACATCATTTGAGTTTAAAAAAAAAAAAAAAAACCCAAACCCAATATATTAGTCTTAAAGGTACCTAACGAGTATTGCTGGGTGTGGTAATACACACCTTTAATTCTAGCACTTGGAAGGCTGAGGTAGGAGGACCATGGGTCAGAGCTAGCCTTGGCTACCTAATAAGTTGCAAGGCAGTTGTGGAATATTTCTTTAACTATGTAAAGGAGTGTTACGTTTGTTTATGCTGTCTTTGTTAAACAATGTAAAGATGTGTTACATATGTTTGTTTTTTCCAAGACAGGGTTTCTTTGTGTAGCCTGGGCTGTTCTGCAACTAGCTCTGTAGACCAGGCTGGCCTCAAAAATCATAGAGACCCACCTGCCCCTCTGCCTGCCAAGTGCTAGGATTAAAGGTAAGGCATGCCACCAACATCAGGCTTGTGTTACATCTGTTTATGCAGCATTTGCTTAGTGGTGTGTTGCTTTGCCTGCCTAAGGCACCTGATTGGTCTAATAAAAAGTTAAACAGCCAATAGCTAGGTGGACAGAGAGTAAGTAGGAAGAGAAATCTAGGCTGGGGATATATAGTATGGAGACAGAAAGAGAGAGAGACAGAGAGAGAGAGGAGAAGAGAATGAGGGAGATCCGCAGGCTTAGCATATATGGAGTAGGACATACAGAATAAAGAAAAAGGTAAAAAGTTCCAAGGCAAAATTTAGATGAAGAGAAACAGTTTAAATTAAGTTATAAGAGCTATTGGGACAAGTATAAGATAAGGTCGAGCATTTATAACTAATAATAACTCTCTGTGTTATGATATGGGAGTTGGTTGGTGGCTCACAAGAAAACCTGTTACAAAAAAAATGAAAACAAAGACAAAAAAAAGAAAGAAAAAGGAAGAAAGGAAGGAAGGAAGGAAGGAAGGAAGGAAGGAAGAGTTACTACAGGATAGCAAAATCTACATAAGAAAGAATCAACCTCCCCATTCCGGGATATGTCTCCCATTTTCTTTTGACCTCTCCCACAAGTCACATGGGGGCTCCCAGCTTACGAAGGCCTCGGAATACATCTCCTTCAGCATCAGCTAGAGTCTTCCCTTGTTCCAATGTGATTAACTTGGCAATTTCTTTCTACAGAGAAAACATAGAAGTAGAAACTAATCCAAGGATGCTCATTTATTTCTTGGTATTGGGGATATACATCATGATTTGTTGATTTTTTTTTTTTTTTTTGAGACAGGGTCTCATGTAGCAAGGCTAGCCTCAAACTTACTTTGTAGTTGAGGCTGGCCTTGAACTCATGATCCTCATGCCTCCACCTCCCAAGTGCTGGAGTTACAGGTATGAACCATCATGCCAGGCTGAATCTGGGGTCTTGGTCATGTTCACTTAGCACACATTCTACTACTGAGCCCTACACCCAGCCCCTATTTTCCTTCAAGGACAAGCAAAACTGAGAGACCTCATGGGTGAAAGGTCATGATCAGTGTCCTCCTGTACTGTAGAGTTAGAGAGGACAGCTCAACGAGTCTTTGGAAAGGTAACCAACAAAAATACCGTAGGAAACAGGCTAGAAAGCTACTCAAATTTCTTACCAGGTTTTCTTTAATAAGTTGTTGATAGCGGAGCAGGACCTGCTGACGGCTTAAAATGGATGTGTCTGCCCATGCAGGGAAAGCGCGTTTGCAGGCAGCAACAGCTGCATCCATTTCAGCTTTGGTGGACTGAGGGACCCGACCGATGACCTCATTGGTAGCCTGAAAAGAAGCCATCACATATTGCCAGTGCCTCACCTTCCCCACATTGACCCACTCACTAGGACAACACTGGCTTTGTGGCAGAGCCACAAGCCCCCCCTTATCCCTTGCTCCCAAAGTTCTAGGCTAGTAAGTTTAAGTCCCAAAAAAGTTTTGCTTACTGGGTTGTGGATGTCAATCCATTTGTCACTTTTGGATTCAACAAATTTCCCATCAATGAAGAGTTTTACAGTTGGCTAGAGGGAAAAAAAAACACACACACACACCAAAAAAAATTTTAATATCGTTTTGCTTCTCTTTCTCTTTCTGTGAGAAGAATCCTGGTGGATAACTGGATCTACTTGCCCAGCCATCTCTCTAGCCCTTTCCTCACCAAAAATTTAAGCTTACAATAGCAATAAAAATAGTTATACCTTATGAAAGTAAAGTTCAAGACAAAAATAATCCAAGAGTATATTTAGCGATTTTAATTTATTTTATGTATATGAGTGCTCTATCTGAATGTATGCCTTTATTCCAGAAGAGGGTATCAGATCCCACTGTAGATGGTTGTGAGCCACCATGTGGTTGCTGGGAATTGAACTCGGGACCTCCAGAAAAAGCAGTCAATGCTCTTAACCACTAAGTCATCTTTCCAGCCCAAGAATTAATATATATATATACATATATACATATATATGTATATATATATGAATGTTTATTTTACACTATTGAAAAACTGAAGCACACTAAATATTACATGAAGAAAATTGAGTTATATACACAGGATGGAATGTTATGCAGTCATTAAAAACTATAATTAAACAAGGTGTTTGTGGTGCATGCCTTTAATCACAGCACTTGGGAGGCAGAGGTAGATGAATCTCTGTGAGTTCGAGGCCAGCCTAGTCTACAGAGCAAGTTCCAGGACAGGCTCCAAAGCAATACAGAGAAACCCTGTCTCAAAAAAACAAACAAACAAACAAACAAAAATAAATAAAACAGGAAGAAGAAAAAAGAAACAAAAGAAAAAGTAAAGAAAAAGATAGTAAGGGAATACCAATAATTATTGATAAATTAGATTGATGAATTAACATAATCCAAGAGAGTCAAACTTTTAACTCTGGAAGCAGCAAGGAACTTGGTGAAACACCTGTCATCTCACTACTTAGGAAATAGATACAGAGAAACTGTGTCTCAAAAAACAAAAAACAAAAACAAACAAACAAAAAAAACAACCAACCAAACAAACAAACAAAACCCTGTAATTATAAGAATATCTTGCAATACTGAAACCATTTAAAACATGATAGATAGATATAGTAACAGACAAAAAAAAACCAAGGTAGAAAATTTTTCTGTGCATGATGGTACACATCTGTAATCCCAGTACTTGGGAGGAATTGAGGCAGGAGTTAAGGCCAGTCTAATTTACATAGTGAGTTCTAGTCAAGCCAGGGGGTAAGCAATGAGACCTGTTTTTTGTTTGTTTGTTGTTTGTTTGTTTTGTTTTGTTTTGGAGACAGGGTTTCTCTGTGTAGCCCTGGCTGTCCTGAACTCATTCTGTAGACACGGCTAGCCTTGAACTCAGAGATTCACCTGCCTCTGCTTCTCTAATGGCGTGACACTTGTTTTTAAAAACACAAAACAAGGGGCTGGAAGATGGCTTGGAAATGAACAAAACTTGGGTTCCTTCCCAGCATCCACTCAACAAGCATCTGTAACCAGCTTCAGAGTCTTCAACATCCTCTCCTGAACTCTGAAGGCAATAGGCCCATATGATGCACAGGCATACATGCAGGCAAAACACCCACAAACATAAAAAAAAAAAATAACAATAAAAAAGTGCAAAACAAACTAAAAGTTTCACTCATTTTTATCACAATGGTATAAAAAGGAAATGCCTGAAAATTACACATTCCTTCTCAGAAGCCCATCTTTAGCAATCAAAATACTCACCACTGATGATGAAGAAAAGGAAGATGCTGGATGCCATGTGTTTACTTTTGAAGATACCTATGGGATTAAAAAATATCTGATAAATGCCAGGTGTCATGGCATATTCATCCCAGCACTCAGGAGGCAGACAGGCAGTTTCTGTGAGCTGGAGACAACCTTGGTCTACAGAATGAGTTTCAGGTCAGCTATGGCTGCACAATAAGACCCTATTTCCACAAAACAAAAATCTGGTAAATGCTGGGCAGTAGTGGTGGCACACGCCTTTACTCCTAGGGAAGCAGAGGCAGGAAGACCTCTGTGAGTTCAAGGCCAGCCTGATCTACAGAGTTAGTTACAGGACAGCCAGGGCTACACAGAGAAACCATCTCCAAAAACAAACAAACAAAAACCCCAACACTTAACAAAATGAAAATCCTGAGAAGAAACGAGGAAACACAGTCATGGAAACAATAATCATAAAGATCATGTCCTGGATTTCCAGGAGTCTTGATTTAAAGAATCTTTTTAATCATTGTATCATACTTTGCAAAATACAGTCACCACAAATCTAACAAAAGTACTTATTATGCTATCTAAAGTAAGTATTGAATGTCTTTTTTTTTGGGGGGGGGTTTCTCTGTAGCTTTGGAGCCTGTCCTGGAACTAGCTCTGTAGACCAGGCTGGTTTTGAAATCACAGAGATCCTCCTGCCTCTGCCTCCCAAGTGCTGGGATTAAAAGCTAAAGCATTGAATGTCTTATAAATCAATGTTAATGTAATAAACCATAAATAATATTGTATATGGTCAATGGGAATTCAGATTAAATAGTAATATAATGTAAATATATATTCACATGTACTTGAATACAAATGTTCACAACATCTTTACTTTCACTAGCCCCAAACTTGTTAATGACTCAAATGTTCACTATTAGATAATATCATCAAAGTACGTATGTATGAAAATAACACAATGGATCCCATTTTTTTACAGGATATATGCTAATAGTGAAGTTTCAAAAATGCAATGGTTGCGCATGGAGATGCACTTCAGGAAGCTGAAGGATCAGATATTCAGTGTCAGTCTGGGCTACCAAGTGAGACTCTGTTTCAAAGGGGAAAAAAAAGAATGAGATGAAACATTAGATGATTTCATTTATATGAAACTAGGTGATACAAGCTCGTCTATAGCATCATCCATAGTTACCCATGGATGAAAGAGACAATAGTAGGAAGAGCTAAAAGGAATGTTTTCGGGTAATGGATATTTTTATTATTTTGTGATACTGTCACAGGCATTAAGGCTTACCAAATGACATATTTTAAATATGTACAGATTATTTTGTTTCAATTTCACTTTAATGAGGCTATGTTAAAATGGTATAGGTTTCCCATGGCAGGGTAATATGTTGATATTTGGTAGGGTTAAAAATCAGGGAATTGGGGCTGGGGAGATGGCTCAGTGATTAAGAGCACTGACTGTTTTTCCAGAGGACCCAGGTTCAATTCCCAGCACCCACATGGCAGCTCACCCATGTCTGTAACTCCAGGTCTAGTGGATCTGATACCTTCACAGCAATGCACATAAAATGAAGTTAAATAAATTACTTTAAAAATCAGGGAATTAAGGAGGGAGGCTCAATTATAATAATGTTAAATCTCACATTGTATTTCTAAAATATGTCATGAAATTGACTGAAAAAATATTCAAGTAAAAGAAAGCTGGGACCATGGCTTCTTTTCCACTGTTCACTCTTACCTCTTGAGACTGCTTTGTGACAACAGTTCCCTTAGCCACCACCCACGTTCACCAATAGAGTGAGTCACTTCTATTCTATACTACAGGTGTCTCCCTTGAATTTGTATGCCAGAGGTCACAGGTCACAAGAACCTGGGAGCTGAGAGCAAAGATAAATCCCAGTGACCGTTGAGGGTTTTCCATCTTCACCATGAGATCTTGGATATTGTCAAATGGGTTTCTTTTAATTATCTTTACTTAAGTCCCATCAACTCTTTAATCTACTCCAACCTTCATGAGTAATTATCAGTAACTTCCTATATCCTTCTAAGTCGTCCTTAGACTTGACCTCACAGCAAAAGTGACTCGGTTCATGACTCTCACTTGTTCACAGTCTTCTGTGCTGTCCTGGTGTCTTGGCTACCTCCAACCCTGCCCCCAGGCTGCTTTCTACCGTTGTATCCATTCCCTATCTCCTTTGCTGGGTCATTCTTCTCTTCCTGGCCATTAACTCAGTTGCCCGAGGCTTGGTCCTAGGCTTGCTTTCTTTTTGTTCTTGAGAGATCCTAACACTCCAGTGGCCTCTTTAGATCGCAAGCCTGCACTTCTCAGCCAGAATCTTCCTCTTCAGGTAATATCCATGTAGCCATTTTCACACCTCCTCTTAGGATCATGTTGGAAAGCTGAACCCCTCGCCTGCCTTCCATCAGTCTGCTTTACTTCCCACAGCCCACTTACCCGAGCAACGGGGCCTTGTTACCTGACTGACCATGACACCTACCTTGTTACCTGACTGACCATGACACCTATCTTGTTACCTGACTGACCATGACACCTACCTTGTTACCTGACTGACCATGACACCTATCTTGTTACCTGACTGACCATGACACCTATCTTGTTACCTGACTGACCATGACACCTACCTTGTTACCTGACTGACCATGACACCTATCCTCTCCCTTTGTCTTATTGGTGAGCCAAACCCATCTTGGCAATCGATCTCTGGACACACAGCCTCTCTTTACCCTGTCATTTCTGCCATCTGCCTCTCATTTTGATTTCAATTGTGGCTTTCCAGTAAGCCTCATATTTTCCAACCTTACATGTTCTGAATCTAGTTTCTTTTGTTTTTGAAACAGGTTTCTCTGTGAAACTCTAGCCTCAAACTCCTGCCTGTGCTAGGAGGCTCCTGTGCTCCTCCTCAGGTGCTAGGATTAAAATGCCATCATGTTCAGTTTTGAATTTAGTTTCTCTCTCATAAAGAGAAGTTTTTTTTGTTTGTTTTTTTGTTTGCTTTGTTTTTTGTTTTTTTTTTTTTTTTTTTTTTTTTTTGAGACAGGGTTTCTCTGTATTGCTTTGGAGCCTGTCCTGGAACTAACTCTGTAGACCAAGCTCGACTCGAACTCACAGAGATCGGCCTGCCTCTGCCTCCCGAGTGCTGGGATTAAAGGCAGGCATTGCACACCCAGCTCAGAGGGTCTTTCTAAAAAGAATTAGGTTAGACTACCCACTTATGCCGAACACTTCCATGGGGCTGGGAGTGTAGCTCAGAAGTAAAGTAACTAGCACGTATAAGTTCCTGTGTTCTATTCCTAGCAGTGCAAAACAAAACAGAAAAACAAACAAAAAACAAAACTCCAAAACCAAATCAAATCAAAAAAAAAAAAAAAAAAAAAAAAAAAACCTTCAATGGCTTCCTGCTGCCCTTGCAGCAATCATGATTAACTTCCTTGGTGCTGTTCTAAAGACCACATAGTTCTTTCCGTTTCTCTAGTTTCAAAGTGTGATTGCTACTTCCTCCTTGTTCTCTGCTCTAAGCATTCCAGGGCTGAACATTATACTGTTTCACCCCAGAAGGAACAAGCCTTCTGAACAGGTTCTATCTGCTTGGCTTTTGTATATGCCGACCCATCTTGTCTGACACTGCTTCCTTTCACCTGCCTGGCTCATTCTTAACACTCTTGGGTTTCTAGATGGCCATTATCTTTTCTAGGAAGTCTCAACCTCAAGTATGGGCTAAGAGCCTAATTGTGGAGTTCACAAAACACTCAAATTCTTCCATTTTTTTCACTCCACATTACAGGATAGCAGCTTGTTTAATTATTAAATGTTTCTCTCTTTAGATCACTAGACCACTGTGTTCTCTGCCCCTAGCCTAATCCCTCTAACAGATGGAGGATTTGTTAATATTTTGCAGAAGCAAAGGATAAATACTCACAAGCAATAATTTGCTACTAATATTGTTTCATGTATTCTCCCACACAGCCTTCCTCATGTAAAGAAGAGAAAACAGACAGTGCACTCACGTTAATGAAATATCACCATGTAGATTTTGCAGGGTTTACACCTTGTATCTGTTTTGCCTTTCCTAAGAAATACTCATTAGCACTCTTACTGATGAAACTAGCATCCAACTTTCACTTCTAGACCAGTGGTTCTCAACCCTCCTAATACTGCGACCCTTTGTTATAGTTCCTCATGTTGTGGTGACCCCCCACCCACCCATAAAATCATTTTTATTGCTATACCATAACTATAATTTTGCTAATTTTTTTGTTTTTTGATACACGGTTTCTCTGTGTAGCTTTGGAGCCTGGCACTCGCTCTGTAGACCAGGCTGGCCTTGAACTCAGAGATCCACCTGCCTCTGCCTCCCAAGTGCTGGATTAAAGGCATGCACCACCAGCACCAGGTGTAATTTTGTTATTATTATGAATCATAATGTAAATATCTGATAAGCAACCCCTGTGAAAGGGTTGTTCAATTCCAAGGGGTCATGACCCACAGGTTGAGAACCATTTGCTCTAGCTATTAACTTCCTACCCGATGTTTCCTTTGTCTTTTCCTCCTCACTAAGACTAGACTTGCAACATTCAAACCCAGAACCAGCCCTTTTAGAAACTTGTGCTGAATAAGACAATTTGAGTTTGGGACTCTTTCCCTATGTCCCTCACTGCTCTGGGCACTTCCCTTGCATCACAGTTGTGAATGTGTAAGAAGTCTAGGATGGTGCAAAGGAAGAAAGGCATGCCAAGACCTAAGTCCTAAATTCTCAGCTCCATCAATAACTTCCTAGGTGATCTTGGGTCAATGATCTGAAGTGTCAGTCAATTTACTTCATTGCATATCTTCACAGATATTCTTAAAACTAGACAGTAGCAGATTTGGGTTAAATGTACAGATAAGCATGGAATCAAGGAGGCAGGTCACTGGGTTTCTTTAAGACTGGTTTTCTTATCTCTGATTAAGAAGGATAATATTACACAAAGCATAGAGAATCTAGGTCATGTTCTGCCAATCCCCAAACAAAAAAGATAGGCTGAATACTTAAAATAACTGAAAACTCACCCATCACTTCCTATGCAAGCCTAAAAAAGTTAAAAACAACAACAAAAAAACCCCTCTGAAAACATGAATTTTATCCTTCATAGTTTCTTCTGATAGCCCTCTAATAGTCATGGCTGTCAGAACTTTGACAATTTTCTGTCTCCTGTTTATTTTTTCTTTTCTTTTTAATGGTAGGGACTTAGTATATTACTCGGGTGTTTTTTGTTGTTGTTTTTGTTAAGATTTTTTTTGTGTGTGTGTGTGCGTGAGTGTACAGAACGTGTATATGGTACTCTTGGAGATCAGAAGGCATCAGAGCCCCTAAAGCTGGAGTTACAGACAGTTGTGAGCTACCCAGTATAGGTGCTAGAACTGAACACAGTTCTCTAAAGAGAAGTAAGCACTCTTATTTAATCTTTGAGCTAGCTCTCCAGCTTCCAATTTTACTTTTTAGTTTAGAAATTATTTTTTTTCTTGATTTTTTTTTTTAGTAACCATTTACAAATTAATGGGTTTCTTTAAAGCATTTTCAGGCATGCTGTTGTACTGCATTGCTTTTTATTTTTTTCAATTGACTTCCTCCCGCTCTCTGGCTGGTTCCCTTCTCAGACTGGTTTTGAAGTGGGAGATTTGCCTGCATCAGTTTCTGCTGGGCCTATGTACATATGCCACCATGCCCACTTAAACTAGTCTTCATCAGAGTGTCACGTTACAGAAACTCCTAATTGTCTAAGAACTATTTTAGGTTTTTTCCCAAGTCAGTCCAGAGGTTTCTTCAAATTGGTTTTTAAAAAGAAAAAAAAAAAGAGTATTTGTTTCAAAAATAACATGCATGCAAAGAGAGTTTCTGCTACTAAGATTCTCAGTGATTCATGCTGATAGGTAACATGATTGGAGGTGGGGCAATTTCTATAAAGGATTTTAAGGGGTTGGTAATAGAAAATGAAGAGTGGAAATGTTGTCCCTGTTACTAGAAAAAGATACCAGAATTGACCTAGGGGAGTGAAGTCATGACAACCCTCTAAGGTCTCCAACTCACTCCCCACACTGAACCATTAATTAGCATATTCAAACCTGAGCCTTTAGCGACTCCAGCAATATTCTAACACATGCACACAAATGCAGTAGAACTTATAGAAACCTGATGAACAGAAATAAAACTTTTTGTAAGTGCAACAGTATAGAGTACATCCCCAGGCTGGATGAATAAGAAGGAGACTATGTTGCTTAATGCTGGATTATGAATCTTGACAGTAACAGTATCTTGCCTCATGTTCTAAGTCCCTGCTAAGGTGGAAACTCACAAAAGACTGTCAACAAAGCTGGGGATCACAGGCTTGAAGCTTCCATAGTTCCACAATTGCCCTTAGGCTGTCTTGTTCAGGACTCCATTTCCAGTTTGGCAGAGTGGGGGGGGGGGGTGTTGGCAATGGAGGAGCTGACTTTGGGAACATGTCTTCCTAAGCTCTCATTTTCTACCGCCTGTTTAGGAAATATTTAGTCCTTCGAATGAAGCACTATTAGCACAATATGACCTTTATTTACCTCCAAAAGTTAACTTTGAGAAAGTTTAACTTGTCCCAGAGCTTGTGAAAAACACTAGGAGCCAACACAGTTTGTGAAAACAGTTAGCAAATGGCTACCTTTGATGTGAAAACCTAGGGTACATTTCTAGGCGATTCAGAGTTCCTTCACTGACCCTAGTTGCAGGGACCTAGCGAGCTCCCCTCCCGCTCCCCTTACCTCAGATTATGGACAGAGGTTGGGTGGGGGAAGGGACGCTCCTAAAGGAAAGTTCTCTGAGAAAGGCGTCCAAAAGGGGGAGTTTCTGGGGAACAGAGGTGGCTGGTGCAGAGGTGAAAGGGAGAGCGTGGGAGGAATCAGATAGAGAAAACATGCCAGGGAGTGACAGCAGGCACTGAACCGGAGGGTGGGCCAGAGCCAGAAAAAGAAAGGCTCGGGAGCAAAAGGAGGGAGAGCCAGGCGTGACAGCTGGGGCTGGATCCAGGGCCAGAGACAGTACAGAGTGACAACCGGACACACCGGACTGGTACAAGAGGGTCTGCAAAGGGGCTGGGCCAAAAAGTCTGTCCCGCAGAAGCATGGTTTAGAGACGGGGCGGTAAGGACCCATTCCTAACATCATGGTCCCTCGTCGCCACCCTCACTCGCCTGCAGGATCCGGGTCCGCACTGCTGCCGCTGCTGCCACCGCTGCCGCCATAGCTCACCACTTCTGCCCAGTTCCCCGAGCCACGGCTGCCAGTGCCTCCCAAGAAATCAGACCGCTAGGCCACGCCCTCCACACGGCCGGGCCTTTCCATTGGAGGAGAGGGCTACTCCTCGCAACCAATCACCTGCCAGAACTCTGGGCTCCCGCCCAGCACTCCTAGTCTTGGGGCTATGTGATTGGTCAGTAGAGGAAGCGTTCTCGCCCCCTCTCACCTCAGCCGATTTTTGTTGGCGGAGACCGGGAGACGCCCCCACCCCGACTTGGTCCTGCATATTAAGCACCAAGCGGAGATCGGGAAGACGCCCCCTAACCGGGAGCTCCGATTGGCTACAGGTAGGCAGCCTCGAGGTCTCGCCCCCTGGCTCAGGAAAGTAAATAAGGCCCTTGGAGAATTTTGCCTACGTCCCACCTTCCCTACCGCGCCGCGGGCGGGGCTGCTTTCTGGGGTGGGACTAGGCAAATGTTACCCTATGGGGTGGGGTAACTAGATCCGGTCGCGAGTTGAGGATAGGTTATTCCTGTAGGGGCGTGGCTTGTGGGTCCTCGCTTTCCCGCCGACGGTTGGCCACGTCACGTGACATGGGCTGGAAGATGGCGTCTCCCACGGACGGTAAGAGCCGGCTTGGAGATTGTTGCCCTGTAGTCTCTCTATTTGCTTCTCTGGGAACTTCCAATGTCTTCACGCTTACACTTCTCTCTTGGGCTCCTCTCCTTTCGCTCCCACTTCTTTCCTTTGGCGTATGTCGGGTTTTCAGCTAGCAGGGTTTTCACAGCGTCTCCGGAGGTGCCAAGTACCAGGTCTCCCCACTGTGTACTAGCTGGGTGAAGGAGGCCACCAAACAGACCCTTTCCCGGGTAAAGGACAGAGGTCGTCCTGGCCCATCGGGGATGTCGAGGGCCCAGAGAGCGTTTGAGGGGAAAGGGAGCTTTCTTTTCGGATCAGCTCATTGGAGTGTTCTCATCTCAGTAGAGCTAGAATGAGCTAGGTAGGGTTCATCCCTAGTTCGAGCCGGGAGAGAAACACGCTGTCTCCTTCTCAGTTTTGGTCCGTTGCCCTGGCAGCAGGAAAAGCAAGGACCTGATTTCCTGGCTCTGAGTCCTGAGGGAAATGAAAGTTAGGCTTGTTGATATAGTTCGTAGCGTCTACTTTATGTGTTGTTTCCTTAGGCTGAGAGTAGGAACAATTCTACTTATATGTCATTTAAGATGCAAGCCCTCTCAGGTGCCAATTAGGCATTTTCGCTATACCTGTATGCGTTTGCTCCAGGTTCTTTTTCAGTATTTGGAATTGCCGGTCAGTCATTATTAAGTATCTCAGTAGAGTCATTGTCAGCATGGTTATTTTGTTAACTTTGCCCGGGCGGCCACACCCAATTATAAGTTCCAAGCCTGTCCTATTTCAGAGTTTAATCCTAGGTTTTATCATAATGTCTGCAAAGCATTTGGCCTTAAGTTAACGTTTGTCAAAATGAAACTAGCCTTGGTGTGTGACCTCTAATCCTAGCTACTTGGGAGATAGAATCAGGGAGATTGCTGCTTCAGGCTTGTCTAGGCTACAGAGGGAATTGTGGGCAAAGTATGTCTCAAAAAGGGGGCTTTTTTGGTTGGTTTGTTTGTTTGTTTTTCTAGACAAAGTTTCTCTCTGTAACCCTGGCTGTCCTGAAACTCATTCTGTAGAGCAGGCTGGCCTGGAACTCAGCCCCCGCCCTCCGGATTGCTGTGATTAAAGGCATGCATCACCATGCAGTGAATCTGACCTCCATGGGCATCAGGCATGCATATGGTGCATATAACAACAGCAATACAGGTCAATAAATCTAAAAATAAAAAGTGAGTATATAGAGCTTTGCCTATCATGAACAAAGACCTAGGTTCAGTCTCCAGCACAAATCTAAACTAGTAAAAAAAAATAAATCATTAAAAGGGCTTTTGCTTTTAAAGAATTGTGGTTCATGATGTTGCAATGTCTCAAAATGGAGAGGACTGGGAAAGTGCAGTTTTGAACATAGTGGGTTTAGGGGATTTTCCCTACATGTAAATAGAGACACCAAGTAGCCTCTTGGACATGTTATTCTAAAGTTCAGGAGAAAGGGTGAGACTGGAAATATGAATAGTTATTGGTATATAATAGTGAAAGTTGTAGAGAGTGAAGCTGGCATAAGGTGAGGTCTGAGTGGAGCCTGAAGAAGGAATAATTAAAAGAAGAACCAATATGGTTGTTTCATAGGAACATAGAAGCATCACATGCTATCTAGAGGTCACAGAAGAAATGCCTGGGAGGGTTTAGCGTGGAGAACCTTGCTAACAGTAGTTTAATGCATGCACAGACAGAATCACAGTTTTTATAGGTTAAGGAGAGAGAGAGAGTAAGGTCTGGGGAGGTGGCACAGTAGGTAAGTATGCTTGCTCTGTGTGATGAGGACCTGTGTTTGAATGTCAGGCACTCACTTTAAAGCCAGGTATGGTTGCATATGTGCCTGTAATCCCAGCAAACAGAAACAGGTGGATCCTGCGAGCTTGCTGGTTAGCCAGTCTAGCTAGCTTCTGGTTTTGTGAGAGACATTGTCTCAAGACAGTAAATCTGAGAGCAAAAGAAAGACATTCAGCATCCGTCCTGGTCTCCATAGTCAGACACCTACACCTGCATTCATTACACCCATACAGCATACCACACACACACACAAGTGTGAGGTGCAGAAATAAGAACAGGATACTCAGGAAGGAGGTGGTGAGTTTAAGGGGAGAGTTTGCATGTTTATAATGTTTATGTGTGTGTCTGCACTCAAACATACATATGGATACCGGTGCATGTGTGTGTGCATACATGTGGAGACCGGTTAACCTTAGGTGTAGTTTCTCAAAAGCCATCCACCTTGTTGAAGTAAGGTCTCTCATTGGCCTGAAAATAGTAGGCTAATGGCTAGCCAGCAAGGTCCAAGAATCCCTCGGTGCTGGGATCTCTAACACTGTGTTACCTCATGTAAGTTCTGGAGAGCAGACTCAGGCCCTCATGCTTGCTCAATAAGTAGTTTACTGACTGAGATCTCTCAGCCTTTCCCCTCCTTTTTCTTTTTCTTTTCCTTTTTCAAGGGAGGGAAATTCTGAGCTAATGAGATGGCTCATCAGGTAAAAGAACTTGTCACCAAGACTGCTAACCTGAGTTTGAGCCTGGAGCCCACACGGTGAAGAAGGGAACCAACCTCTTCAGTTGCTATGACACTAGCACGAACCCAATCCATAAGTATTATTTTATTTTTTTAAAATAAATGCTCTTTTTTTTTTTTGGCTTTTTGAGACATGGTTTTTCTGTAGCTTTGGAGCCTGACTTGGAACTCATTCTGTAGACCAGACTGGTCTCAAACTCACAGAGATCCTCCTGCCTCTGCCTTACCAGTGCTGGGATTAAAGGTGTGCACCGTCACTGCCTGACAATAAATGTTCTTTTCAAAAGTCAAAAAATGGACTTGCTTGTTCAGTATGAGGGACCGATGGTACAAGAAGTTTGTTTGAGGTGCAGAAGACAATGGTCTTCAGTCCTAGTAGAGATTGCCTTTCATGAGAGAGGGATGCTTAGCTGATTAACTGGAGGAAAGTTGAAGAGTAGAATGAGACATAGGTAGATTTGCTGACACTTTTTTTTTTTTTGGAGGCGGGGAGGTTTGAGACAGGGTTTCATGGCTTTGGAGCCTGTCCTAGAACTTGCTTTGTAGACCAGGCTGGCCTTGAACTCACAGAGATCCACTTGCCTCCGACTCTTGAATGCTGGGACTAAAGGCGTGTGCACCACCAACGCCCTGCTGACAAATCTTTTTCACTGTATTGCCTGGGCTGGCCTGGAGCTCAGTGCCCCTGCCTTAGTCTCCCACATGTTGGGATTATAGATGTGGATCACCATGTCCAGCCAATACTCATTTTTCTAAGCAGTCTTTAATTTTCTTTTTTTAGTTTTATGTGTATGAGTATTTTACTTGCTGTATGTCTCTGTTTTTGCTCTACAAGAGCAGTCAGTACTCTTAACCACTGGGCCTTCTCTCCAGCACTAACTTTCTTAAATATTCTTATTTGGTACAGTGGAAGACTGAGTTTTGATGAAAGAGAGTCAAATTTATTTGTATTATACCATGCCCCAGTAACATCAGTAATTCAGAGTTGAGTGTTTCAGTTTCTGTTTTTTGATATTGAAATCTAATGAAATATAAATGAATGTGTTTCTTATCTCATCTTGGTATTTGTTCCTAGGGACAGATTTGGAAGCATCTTTGTTAAGTTTTGAGAAACTTGACCGTGCCTCGCCAGATCTTTGGCCTGAGCAATGTAAGTTTTTACTTTTCTCATATGGGATCAGGGCAGGGAGTCAGTGCTCCCATAGGAGAATTTTGAAGTGTTATCATGTATCTCTGATGATTAAAGTTTTTATTTCACTTCAGGGAGAAGAGATTGATGTGCATTAAAAAGAGAGACTTATCTTGAGACAAGTGATAAGGAGCTTTTAAATGATAATAGTTTTAAAACTATATCTGTAATTTTGATAATTTTGAGATTAACAAAGCTTTTCCTCATCTCCTTTAATCACTCTTATTAAGTTAAATACTATTAGTAATTTTGTACAAATCAATTTGGAGTTTTTAATGCTAATACAGATAAGCACACGCATACACACACACACACACACACACACACACACACACACACACACACACAATAATGAAGTCGTATGTTTAGAACCTTCAGCTTAATTTAGATAAATTAGTAATTTGATGTATCTTTCCATGTTGCTCTTATTTTAGGGCTACTTTATTCTTTTAAATATATTATAATGGATAGGTATATCCTAGTTTCTATATTTACATTCTGTTTGGGAACCTGTCATTTGGCTTTTATTTCATAGGCAGCGTATTAATGATTATCCTTGCATCTATGTCCTGTATGTAGAAGAGAATGACTTCCCATTTTCTCACTAGCCAATATTGGATGTTCCTGGTCATTGTTATGTTTAGTTTGCATTTCTTTTTTCCTTTTTTTTTTAGTTAAATGACATTCACTTATTTATTGGGCTTGGGGAGACCCATGTGCCGTGATGTGCATGTGAAAGTCAGATGACAACTTGTAAGAGTCAGCTTTATCCTTTTACCATGTACTTAGGATTCCATAATTCATGTTGTTGGACTTGGTGGCAAGTGCCTTTCCCTACTGAGCCATCTCCCCAGCCCTGCTTTGTATTTCTTAGTATAATTGAACATTATTTCACTTTTTGTAATTTGTGCTTTTGATTTTTTTTTTTTTTTTTTTGGAGGCAGGGTTTCTTTGTGAAACAGTCATAGCTCTTCTGGAACTCTCTGTAGACCAGTCTGGCCTCAAACTTACAGAGATCTACCTGCTTCTGCCTTCTGAGCTGGGACTAAAGGCATGCGCCACCACCATCTAGCTTTTGCTTTTTGATGTGATACTATCTATGAGACATTTGAATAAATAATTAATAGAAAGACAACTGAAAAGAAAATTTACTTTGGCTTATTTTTATTATTTATTCATTTGTAGTCCTGGGGATCGAACCCAGGGTCTTGTGCTTGTTAGACAAGCACTCTACCATTGTCTAAATCTCATCCCTGAAAAGGAAATTTAAACTTTTTGACAAGAGATAAGTTCATAAATCCTGGTTATTCAAAGCATATGACATTGGTTTCTCAGAGAATCTTTTCCTGCCCCATTGTCTGATTTAGAGGTCTATTTTCTGTCTTCCTATAGCACCTAATATCAAATGCTAAAGCAGTGTCAGCAATTTCTGACATGTCTTCTATGTTGTAAGCTCCTTGAAGGCGACAGAGTTTCTCCATGTAGCCCTGACTGTCCTGGAATGTATTCTGTAGACCAGGCTGGCCTCACACTCACAAAGATCCACCTGCCTTTGCCTCCTGAGTGCTAAGATTAAGGTGTGTGCCATGAGAACCACCCCCTCTGTGCCTGAACACACAAATATTTCTTGCATGAATAACATTTTTTGTTGTTGTTTTCCTTTTTTCTAGTACCAGGTGTTGCTGAATTTGCAGCTTCTTTCAAAAGTGTAAGTAATAGCTTAAGTCTGTAGAAGTTTATTCAAAGTTTGCCCTTGGGTAAAAAGATCAAATCTTTATTTTCAAGAATAGTGCCATAGACTTTTAATCATTTTTTGACTGTAGACCTTTAAACTTGTATATATTACTATAGTTAACTGTTGATAAACCTTCCTCTATTCAAATGCTGTGTTTTGATATTCTGACCCTTGTCTATTAGCCTCTTCTTGCCTGGAATACTTGATATAACATTGTATTCTGTTTACCCCAACTGTATATGATTTCTCCTATCATCATGTGGATTCTGGGCTTTGAATTCAGGACATCAGGGTAAACAGCAAGTTCGCTTACCTTCAGAGCTGTTATTCTAGCCCAAGGTTATGTTTCTTAACCTTTGTCTGCATGGCAGAATTGTCAGTGTAGCATACAGCTGCAAAGCTTTTAAAAGTTTTTGTTTTAATTACTTAGTTCGGTTCTTTCTAGTAGTTTTTCTTAATGGTTCTTGATATGCTGGATCAGTACATGGGGGAATGTCCAGGATTTGGTTTATGCAAAGGTTGAAGGGGAAGATGATCTCACTGTGTACCTGTCTTAGTCACTGTTCTATTGCTATGATGTGACATTGTGACCAAGGCAACTTTAAAAAGAAAGTATTTACTTGGCTTGCTTATACTTTCAGAGATCATGATGGTAGGAGCTCTGCAACAGGCAGTCAGGCATGGTGCTGGAGCAGTAGCTAAGAACTTACATCTTATCCACAAGCAGCAGGCAGAGAGCAAGAGAGACAGGTGTGGGCTTTTGAAACTTGAGCCAACCCCTAATAACACACCTCCTCCAACAAGACCATACTCCTAAACCTTCTCAAACAGTTCCACCAACTAGGGACTAAGTATTCAAATGTATGCTCTTATAAGGGCTATTCTCATCAAACCACCACGTAGCCCAAGCTGACCTTAAACTTACCATCTTTTTGCCTTAGCCTTTGCTCAAATTGCAATTGTATCTCACCTATACATACATTAACATTTATTATTTTTTAGTTATCTGGGTGATTCTTATATGCAACTAGACTTAAAAATGAGCTTTCATAATTTCAAATTTACTTATAAGATATTTTTTTTTAAAGATTTATTTATTATGTATACACTGTTCTGCCTGCATGTCAGAAGAGGGCACCAGGTCTCATTAGAGATGGTTGTGAGCCATCATGTGGTTGCGGGGAATAGAACTCAGGACCTGTGGAAGATTAGTCAGTGCTCTTAACCTCTGAACCATCTCTCCAGATCCTTTATAAGATAATTTAAATGCTGAAAAATTTCAAAACTACAATACAGTTATGAAATCTGGACTGTTGAGGTATCTCAGCAGGTAAACACATTTGCTATCAAGCCTGACAATCCCTGGGACCTACATGGTTGAAGGAGAGTACTAACTCCCCATAAGTTGTCCTCTAACCTCCACATACCTGCTTATGGCATATGCATGCTCTGCTCTCCCCACCCCCAGTCATAACAAATAAATAAGCAGGAAAAAATTAATAATGATATTTAGCCAGGCAGTCATGGCTTATACCTTTAATCCCAGCACACAGGAGGCCGAGGCAGGTGGATTTCTGTGAATTTGAGGCCAGCCTGGTCTACAGAGTCCCAGGCCAGCCAAGGGCTGTACAGAGAAACTATGCCTTGAAAAACAAAAACAAAACAAAAAACCAAAAGGAAACAAAAATGAATGGTGAAATCTCAAGTGATGACCATTTATTCCCCACCTGAATTGAGGGTTTTGTCATTTCTGATTTTTCTTTCTGTCAGAGACTGTTACTGATCATTGTTTTAAGCATTCAATTGGAGTCTTTGATAAGAATGGAATTTTAAATAATATCATTGCTGAACTAACTGGTGGCTTGAATTAGTAATAGTAGCTACATCAAGATTCAGCCAACACTACCCGAGACCAACTTTAAAATTGAGCAGCAGAATTTTTTTTAATTTAAAAAATTTTATTTTTCATTTTACAACCCAGTTCCTCCTCCCTCTTCCTCTCACTTCCCCCTCATCCATTCCTCATGGGGGTGAGGCTTCCTTGGGGAGTCAGCAAAGGCTGACATGCCAAGTTGAGGCAGGACCAAGACCCCCCACACACACACCCCTTGCATCAAGGTTGAGCATAGGGAATGGGTTCTAAAAATTCAGTTTATGTAACTGGGATAGGTCATGGTGCCTAAAATGACCTTTTGCTTTTGAATTAAGAGCTAAGCCTAAATAACCTGATTTTTAAATTTTAGTGATTTATGTATTTTATGTCCATGGGTATTTTGTCTGAATGTATGTCTTTGTACCATGTATGTGCCTGGTGCCTGAGAAGGCCAGAAGGAGGCATCACATCTCATGTAACTGAGGATACAGATGGTTGAGGGTGCTGGGAATCATACCTGGGTCCTCTGGAAAAACAATCAGTGCTCTTGCTTGCTGAGCCATCTCTCCATCCAGAAAGCCTGAATTTTTGAGATTGTAATTTGCCAGGATTTTCAGACAACCTGAAGGCTGTGTGACAAACTGCATTCTCATAAGAAGGATGTACCTGAATGGATATATTCTTATTTCTGACAGCCCATCACTAGCTCTCCACCCAAATGGATGGCTGAAATAGAACGCGATGACATCGATATGTTGAAAGGTATGTGATACTGGTATCTACTACCTTTGTTTTGGGGTTTGGTTTGGTCTTTTGAAACAGGGTTTGTCTGTATAGCCCTGGCTGTCCTAGAACTCACTTTCTAGACCAGACTGATCTCAAACTCAGAGATCTGCCCTCCTGCCTTTGCCTCCTGAGCTGGGATTAAAGGCGTGTGCCACCACTGCTTGACTTGTTTTTGTTTTTAATGGTGTCCATTCCCATTTGTCTCAGCCTCCTAAGTATTTGGGAGTACGGACAACCCCCAGACCTTGCTTGTCTTCTAACTTGTACTGTCACAGACACATCCTCCCACAAACCACTCTGCAGTTTTTCTGTCACTCCTTCCTTACAAGGTTCTTTCATATTGATTCTTTTTAATATGAACTCAATTTTGTATAATGCTTGCAGTAGACAAAAAACCTTACATAATTTTTTCACTGAGTTATGAAGGCCCTGTTAAGTGCAATAATAATAACTAAGGTTTAGAGATAAATGAGTAGTGTTTATAAATTTATAAAAATTAAATTCTGCTCTCTTAAAGTTTAGTCTTCACTGCACTAGGACTGTCTTATTTATAAGATGTAAAGGTATATATTGTCCTTTGCACTATAAAATGACAACCCCCTAGTGCAGGGGTTCTCAGCCTGTGGGTTGTGCCCCCTTGGGGGTCTAACTACCTCTTCTCAGGGTCCCACATCAAATATCCTGCCTGTCAGACATTTATACTATGATTCGTAACAGTAGCAAAATTATAGTCATGAAGTAGCAATGAAATCATTTTATGGTTGGGGTCACCACAACATGAGGAACTGTATTAAAGGGTCACAGCATTGGGAAGGTTGAGAATCCTGCCATAGTGGATTAAGACTAATCTTTTATTTCTTTCTGTCCTTTCAATTTCTTCCATCAAGATTTCTATGAGCAGTGAATACTGTTGTTTGATGAATGATTTGGAGTTCAATGAGAATGGAAGTTTAAATTAAAAAAACATGAATTTTATGATTTTGCCTTTTAAAAAAATCATCCTTACAATGTTCAGATTCATGATGGTTACAAGAGATAGACTGAAATTAAGGTAAAAATCAGAGATTCTTGAGCTATTTAAGCAGCTGAACTAGTCAAGAGAGTTGCGTATGTTCCATTCAGCTAAGACTGCAGGATAATAAATGGAAGGCCAGAATCCTTATGTGATTTCAGAAGTAATTGACCGTCTGCATGTTTAAATGCTGATTCCCTCCCCTACCCATGGAAAAAGTATCTCAAAGGCATCTCAAATTCATTGTTCTGATATTAAGGCTTCCTATTTTAATGGTGTGTTCATTTTGTATGATAGGCAGAAATGAATGCTATAAACAGAACCTTGCAATAAAAGCCTTGGGCAAGTGAGATGATTCAGCTGTAAAGGCACATGCCACCAAGCCTGACACCCTGAGTTTGCTCTCTAGAACCCACATGCTAGAAGGAAAGAATCGATCAAATTGTCCTTTGATAGCCATGCAGTAATGTATACAATACACATTAAATAATTTTTTAAAAAAATGTACAGTAAATATTTTAAAGCCCACTTAATTTGTTAAGTATAATGCTGAGATATTTTTGCAGTGGTAGAAAACTTCGCTGTTTTTGCTGCAGAATATATAAAATTGGAGGAAGAGAAATAGAGGGTCTGTCTTGTATTTTTTTATTCAGTAAGGAACTTAAGCTTGAAATCTTCCTTATACTCACTTTGTTCTGGTGATCAAATCCAGGACTTCTTGCATGCTAGACTGGTGTCCTCTAACATTCATCCATAACCCCAGCCCAGCTAGAAATCTTTTATTGCTACAACTATCAACCCAAGTCAGTTGCTACTGGAGACCAGTGGAAAGAAGTGATACTGAAATAAAGTCTTCTGTTTCAGAACTGGGGAGCCTCACCACAGCTAATTTGATGGAGAAGGTACGAGGCCTCCAGAACCTGGCCTATCAGCTGGGACTGGATGAGTGTGAGTACCCAGTTAATTTTATACAAGGTTGCATGTTGTATATTTCACAAAGAGTTCTATTTATAACTCATGAAAATATACTTTTCCTTTTACCAAGGCAAAGACAAGCCATCTGGAGGTAGGAACTCGGTGTAACTTTGTGCTTTTTATCACAGAATATGCTAATTTATTGATTGGACCTAAAAGGTAAAAAATTCTTTGTGCAATACACATCTTTTGGAACCTTTTTATTTTAAGTGCTAGGACATCAACTAAAACTAGCTCAAGCTAAAGAGAGACTTTGTTAGTTTGCATTCATTTATTAAAAATCCTGGGCTAGAAATAGCTTTGAGGTTATCTAGATCTGTGGCCATAATGATGTAATTGGTGGCAGTTTTATTCGTGCTCATGCCATTAGTCCTAGAATCTTTGCTGCTGCCAATAGTTTTTTCTCAGCACTAAGGAAGGTGAGCAAAAAGATACCCAGTTTGTCTTTTTGAATATCATGATTCCCAAAGGGAGGAAGAGTCTTTCTGGGAGAGACTTTAGCTGCTCTGTACCATTGCATAGACTTGCATGGCAGAAGTCAGAGGACAGCTTGGGAGAGCTGATTCTCTTTGCATTATGTGGATTCTGAGGAACTGAATTCAGGTCATTAGATTTGGTAGTGTGTTCCCTTACTCACTGAGCCATCTTTACTGCCAAATATTTGTATTTCTAAGAACATTGGGATTGGGGTTAGTTGCAGTCAACTGATTCAGTCATCTTAATCATTGAACTGAAGCTTAACAACAAAAACTGTTTGCCAGTGTGGGTAGGATGTACACAGTAGAGATGTAGATTATGTTATACTTCATAATTAGCCTATTTCAACTTCTGGAATAGTATTTTGTAACTTATTGCCCTCTTCCTTGGCCATAGTGAATTTATTTGAGATAAGAAAATACTATAAGTTAGAAATTGAAATGATATATTGGTATGTATTGGATTTCTTGGATACAATTTCTTTGTTTTAGTGTGTATAGTATATTTGCATAAAAACATCTTTTTTTGTCCTCTTAGATTATTCATCTACTCTAAGGGTTGTCTTTCACTTGACACCTTAATCTGGTGTTTCGATGTCTTGGTATTTTTTTCCTGCATTAATTGAAAGGATGACATGGGTGAAAAATAAGCAGCAGGAACTGATGAATCCCAGAGGACCAGTGATACTGTTTTCATGCAAATATCTGCCTTGATAAAGATGATGAGATGAAAAAAAGTGCAGAAAATATTTAGCCTCAAAACTTGATTGTCATTTCACAGTAGTGCTAAATGTTCGTATAGGAATAACAAGAACCTGCTAGGACTGGTGGTAACTAGAATGTATCTTTTGGAAGGTGAGCCTTCTGTTACCCTTTGATTTGTTACATGGTTGTATGTCAGATAACCCTTTTGGTGTACAGATTTTAGAATATAATAACTTTTTTTAATGGATTTGTTTCATTTTTAAGGTGCTTTTTACCATTCTTGGAAATTTGTTGTTTGTTTTAGCTGTTGGGTTAAATGTAACTTTTCCAGATAAAAAGTCAGTTTTTGAGACTAATTTCGTAGTCTGCAGATCAACTGACATAATAGCAAGTCTGCAGTGTGTAAACATTTGCCCATGGAATGAACAAATGGTCAATTATTGATGCCCCTAGATGGAATGACAAACTAACACTATGTCTAATGAAGCTCATTGACTTAAAAGTGAAAGGGTAAAGCTTCTGAAAATTGCTCTAGTTTTAAGTACTTAGCGTTTTAGTGATGGGAAGTAATGTTTGAAGATCTCATGATGTTTTCTTCTCATATAGCAGTAGATAATTATAAAGTACATATAACAGGAACTGTGTTAATTGTTTGGCTGTATGTGTTTGACCCCTGCCTCATTACCATTATGATATAGGTGGGATGCTGACTTAGCCCTGTGAATTGCAACAGTAGGGTGTTGCCTTTATTCCTGAAGCCCATTTAATTGTAGTAAATCCTTCTGGTTCTCTGCAGTTTTTACCCTTTTCTGATTTTATTTTTCTTGGTTCTGAAGGTGACAAGTTTTTCAGTAGTCATGTAAGCGACCTACGTACTTATCATCACTAACTTGGAAATAACTGAAAATAGGTTGTCAAACTTTGAAAAACTGGGAATCCTCTTGTTGCAGCAAGAGCTAAACCTTGGGACTCTGATGGATGTGGTTTTTTATTGTAACAGCTTTATTGAATTGTTGTTTGTATTCCTGTCATTCTATTTATACTGAAAATTCAGCCCGCATCATGGTCAAGTCTGGGCCCAAAACCCTGGGCCCTTTTGCCCTACTCCATTTCTTCTCAAGCTCCCAGGGGCTCAGCCGCCATTAATCTGTTTGATGTCAGCATAGATTTGCCTAGTTTGGAATCATGTAGTCTATAGTCTCTGGAACTGAAGTCTCATTTTATTTTTCTCTTTTTCTCTCTCTTTTTCATTGTCTCTTATTCAAAATGCTGGGTATCAGACCCAGAGCCTGCACACTGCTAGATCCATCCAACCTCAGGAGTTATACAGTGTTCAGCTGTGTTACAGAATATGTCAATGCTCCCTTTTGTATGGTCAAATAATGTTCCTTTGGGTAGGTATATCACATTGTATTTATTACCAGTTGAGAGGCTTGATGGACAATGCTGCTATGACAAGTCATGTGTAAATGAATTTTCATTTTCCTGTGTTTATAACTGGGGCTGTATGGTAGCACTGTACCTGACTTTCTTGGTTTTGGGAGACAGGGTCTTTCTGTGTAGCCCTGGTGGTCCTGGAACTCACTCTGTAGACCAAGCTGCACTTGATTCCACAGAGATCTTATATTGGTATAAGTTTTAGTGGTTGTACCAAAGAAAAACCAATGCTTCCAAACTCTTCTATTAGGACTCTCTAGGCATATGCTTTTGAAAAGTAGATATTTGATTGAGAAATTATTCTCAATCTACATTTTTTGCTTGTGGGATAGGATGTTGCTGTATAGCCCAGGCTGGCTTTGAACTCACGATGATCTTCACACTTGGATTTCCCAAGTGTTGGAATTTATAGGCGTAGACTATCACATCTAGCTCTAAATAAATCTAAAGGAGGGTTACCTCCATTGAGTTCTAATTTTAGTCTGTGACTATACTCTAGGTGTCCTTTGTGGCCTGGTATCAAGGTTCTTTGTCTGGTTTTTCTAAGAAGGCATGTTCAGAAACCTCTGTGTCTGTATTAAATTAGTAGTCCTTGATGAAGGAAAAAAAAAATCATCTCACATATGACCTCTAGATGGCAGCATAAGTCTTACAGTACTTCTAATTCTGGCATACTGCTTGAACTGGGTTTCTGATTTTGGTAAAAACTATTTTTACCAGACTATTTGCCTAATTATCTCTTTCCCTCCCTCTCTTCTTTCCTCTTTTTCCCCCTTCCCCTACCTCCCTCCGCTCCCCTCTCCTCCCCTTCCCTGCTTCCCTCCTTTCTTGCCTGCCTCCCTCTCTCCCTTTCTGAGACAGGCTCTCTGTATGTGGCTGCTCTGGAACTCATTATGTAGACCACACTGGCCTCAAACTCGACAGCACTGCCTCTGCCGCCTCAGTGCAGGGATTAAAGTCTGTGCCTCCACAGCTTGCCTTTCAGCTCCCCCCACTCCTTTGTTTTTGTTTTTCCTCTTCTTTTGCAGTTTTCGATACAAGGTTTCTCTGTAGCTTTGGAGCTTGTCCTGGAACTAGCTCTGTAGACCAGGCTGGCCTCAAACTCACAGATATCCTTCTGCCTCTGCCTCCCGAGTGCTGGGACTAAGGCATGCACCACCAACGCCCGGCTCCACTGAAGGTTTTTTAATAGGTCACATACTTATACGAGGAATCTCACATGTGAGATGATTTCTTTCGTTCATCAAGGACTACTAATTTAATACAGACACAGAGGTTTCTGAACATGCTTTATTAGAAAAACCAGATAAAGAACCTTGATACCAGGCCACAAAGGACACCTAGAGTATAATCACAGACTAAAATTAGAACTCAACAGAGCTAACCCTCCTTTAGATTTATTTAGATGGAGTGAATTTTGAGAGACCAGAGGCAGGAAGTTAAGGGGGTGTCAATAAGAATGGAGGAGAATGCACTCAAAGATTGTATGGTCTGGAATGGGCAAATGCCTGGGTGCGTGTTAGGATATCAGGTGAAACTAGAAATTATCATGCTAGGGTTTTTGTTTGTTTTGTTTGAGGCAGTCTGTGTCGCCCAGGCTGACCTCAAACTCGCTGTGTAGTCAAGGGTGATCTTGAGCTTTGTCCTCCTGCCTCCACATCTTAAGAAGCGGGGTCACAGATGTGCACCACCATGCCCAGTTAGCTTATGTGGAGCTGGAGATTGCACTCAAGGCCTTGTGCATGCTAGGCAAATACTGTGCCAGATGAGCCATGTCCCCAGTCCCCCATACTGTTGATGATACGGAAGTCAGAAAGGGAAACAAAATACTTGATTAACAACAACAAAAGCCATCCGATTCTTTGCTATGTCTTTTTGTAGGCAAAACACCGTTTATTTTTAGTTTTAGAAATAAGTAAAAGTCTTACCAAGTATGAATATAGTAAGTCCTTTATTATATGATAGATAATTCTTTGCTAACTAATAAAGGTTTTGGAAATTTAAATTTGAAGAGGCAGTAACTGGCACAAAAAAATAAGCTTTTGCTGTATAGCTTCTTTAGATTATGTGTTAAGATCATTTTATGAACAAAGACCACCATTTTGCATGTAGCTGGGGAATATGTGGCTCTCATCTTCCAGAAGGGCTCTTCTCTCTTCCTAACACCGAGAATTAGAAGGTTTTCATTGTTAGTTTGGTAAGCAAAAAGCAATTATGAAAGTGAATTTCATTTCATATATATTGATCATATCTATTGTTAAGGCTTCAGAATGAAGAAAATATAAGTTTAGATCTGAACATGATAGTGCACATCTCTAAAACTCAAAAGTTGGGAGCAGGGAGATGAGGAGTTCAAAGGCAGGCTTTGCTGTCTGTCGAGTTTCAGGTCAGCCTGGGCCATCTATATGTGACCCTGTCTTGGGGAAAAAGACAAATTGTTATAATCTAAAAATATAAATTCAGGAAACCTGAT